GAAGCCGTGAGTTTGCATTAACGGCAAACACTCCGTGGTCACCTCCTCACTAATTCGTCCCATGTTGAGATTATATCTTCACCGATTCGGTCCAGTTTGGTAGCCTTAAGGAGGCTGGGAAGACTGCGCCTACAGTAGTGTGACTACATGCGGCACAGAAGACGATCAGGCTCCGTAGATCAATGCCAGCAGCCGAATAGATGAGTATATGCCTACCATATCAACATCATATCATGGCTCAGCGCCAAGAAGTGGTCCAATCCCAAGAACGAGAGATAGCCCAAGCTAGCCGAACCGATGCTCCTTCCACTAGGTAAATCGAGCTCCCACATAGAATCCAAGCAAAGGGGGAACAAAAGAGCGCCGTTTCGGGTGCGAGAGCTCCCGCATCGAACTCGAGTCGACTACGACTCCGCTCCATGAACGACTCGTACGAGGTTGGACCACTGAGACATCACTATAATCCTCAATGGATGTCGACAGCAAAAGTAGGTATCTCATGAGATGAGGACATTAACTGTATGAACTGGCAAATACGCTGCCCATGATGGCATGACTCTAGTCATGATAATCTGGGCATCCGATATATTATCCTATCCGTTGTAATCCTTGACTATAACACCACAAGAACTATATGTTCAAGGGCGCACCCGACCGAGAAGTGAAAAGGGTGCGATGTATTGAGTGGTACCGTCGTGATTATAAAAGTAGAGAAATATGATACCATCAACCTCTCTGACAGGCTCTCTTGCCTGTGTGGAAAACAGCTCAAGCTGTGAGCTACTGAATCTGGATATCGGCACAGTTCCAGAACTGTTCACCATTCCTGGTCCGGGCACAGTTATCCTTATGCGAGTTAGACTGATCCCACGAAGAGTCCAGGTTAGGGTACTCCTTCTTAAACTTAGCGAAGTATTCCCTATACCCCTCCACTAGACAGGAGTTGCCAGTTATCCAGTTCCATTGGATAGTACAGCCAGAACAAGTGAGATTTTCTGGCAACTTGAAGGTCATCCTATACTTCATTCCGTCAGTACCAAAGTTAGGTGGAGGCAGATACCATCTTTCTGGATGCTCACTGTCTAGTGGTTGGCAGTCGTAATTGCTGGCGTCGATATTCGTAGCATTACGGCAGTCAGAGCGGGTTTTAGGATCGGGTCTCACGAGAAGATTCTTGTTGAGGCAGTCTTGACCAGTCTTCTGGGTCGAGTACTTCTCACCGTTTAATCCACCCTCACAGATACGGAACTCGAAGTGACCCCAATGATGGACGGTCAAGTGTATTTCGATGTCGATATTGTGACCATGAGTGTAAGTAGCCATAACTGGACCCTGTTGCATGTATGGTTGTTGGCTAAGAGGTGATAGACTACTCCCAGCCCCTTCAAAAGGATCGCCACACAAGCCGTGAGTGCCTTCCGCATCGTGATTATCAGGGAAAGGGGCGTTCTTAGCTTGGATCCGACCAACAACCCCGACACTGTTACCAGACTGAGGACCATAGCCATTCTTTGGACCAGGCACAGCATTCCTGGCCTGGGGGCTTGATATCCAACCATGACCACTAACAATGGCGATGATAGAGGAGATGAGGACAACCTTGGGCATAGTAAACGAATACACTGCTGTAAGCTCAAATACACCATCGTGTTGATCCATTCAGTCTACTTTCTCCCCCATGAATGAATACTATCGTCTCAATCAACTCGAGTTCGATACGACAGCTGTGCTTGCGTAAACTATTGGAGGAATCGGATTCGTCTCCGGCCATATAGGGAACGCAAGGGTGGTCGATGGATCAAACTCGAGCTAACTAATCTACTTCACTTGAGCAAATGGACTCAAAGGAATGCTTTGCACGCATGCCTACGTCCCTAACTGGAACACGAAGACGGCAAGCTACCTCAGACTCGAAGAGAGCTTGCGGGCACTTGCTGAGCCCTCGAGCCAATTCGAGAGGTCCTTGGTGTGATTATGAGGGTTAGCTTGTTAACACAAGTTAAATGCCGATACGAAGGGCGCGTCAATAAGGAGCACGAGGAGCACCTAAACGAACACCGATGCGCATGAAAGAGTCGACGCAGCGCTTCAATAAAGCTAAGATCATGGTTATTGCCATTGGATAAAACGAACTCGAAAACTTTACCATCAACTCATCTGAGAGCAATCGGTCATGATCGTAGATCGCTGAAACGCCAAGTTGAGTATGCGGTAAAAATGCATGGTTCGGGGATAGATCATCCGCGGGTGAGACGCGCGGGCTGTCGGGAATAAGCGGAGCGAAGCTCGCATAAAATGGTAAGGAGGGTGCGATAAGGTGCATAAAGTACCCCCCGAGCAGTCTTACGGCACCTTGCGTAAGGATCGCAAGGAGGGGCCCAAAAATGCCTCCTATGAAATCGCCTTACATGAGGAGGCCCTCCTTGCACCTTGTAGGATAAGGAGCCTTACGGTGAGGAGCCTCATGCCACCTTACCTTACGCCAACCCCCCCAAATCGTAAGGATGTGAAAGCGACTTGCCATGAAACCGTAAGGTACCTTACAATTTTCGCTCCTTATGATGGCTTGTGAAATAGGCCCCAGGGTGCGTCGCGAAACGACCCGTGCGAGCGAATACCGCCGCAGCGTTACAGAACCAGCTGGCGTGTGCCGTGTATGACTCATTTCCCGGGAGCAAGCAATGGTTGGGCGACCGTGCGCGGCGTCGCATCGCCGGCGCGCACCCGCCGTCCCGCAACTGGCGCGGCACCAGCAGAGGCGATCGTCGGACTAACTCGATGCTTCGTGGGCTGAGAGCCGTAGACACCTTCTGTCTTCCATCCCACCAGACCCATCTGCCCAGGAGTGGGATATTAAATCTCCGACGACGAGTAGGAATACACTACCAAGTATCGGCCGAGCTCGGAGGCAAGGGGAATAATCTCCTCGAGAATATAGGCGGGTACGAGACTCGTATAATGGAACTGAAGGCAGAAGTTGACAGGAGCAGGAAGGCTTCGGCCACCTTTCTCCGCCCACTACTTGAGAGACGCCTGTGGAAGGTTTCATCATTCCGCCGAGTTGTCCATCATCGTTGCAGCACACTTACCATACCTACATTGTCGAGTACAGTTCGCTGTTGCTGTTGGCATCACCTAGTGGTGACAATACCGATACCGGTACCCATCTGGCCAGCCCCAATAACATTGAGACGGGAGATGGTGGAGTAGAGAGGACGAGTAAAGCGACTGAGCATCGTTAAACGACTGGAGATGAGCTAGGGCAAGCAGACCGACTTACAAGTGCGGAAATGCGACACTCGATAATTTCATCAAGCTTGAGCTCAATGACAGGATACTCGCATGGCAACCAGATAGTACGAATTTGAGGTGCACCAACTTGTGTTGATGCTTCCTTATGGTGTGTTATTAGTAGTATCATATTACTGATAACACACCTTGAGAGACCATATTACTAATATGAAGAACCATCAAGATGGACTCCCATTATGGGAGTTTTATATTGGTAATGCAACAGGGGAAACACATATAACAAGAAAGATACCAATAACTACCAAGAAATGCCGCTGTTTAAAATTAGCTGAATGGAGGCATATATTCAGATTCTCGATGTTAACATCATGGCCCCGAGACTCCTATACTCCTCGGGCGTGAGAACTCTGTATCTACGGCATCATGACGATAAACGGAAATGTGAGATCTCCGTATATATTCACTTGTTGGTAGACGGGTGAAGCCAGATGACCTGGTCGGGCTTGCATGCCTCTGGATCGCATCCCGCCTGCATAAGCCTCTGCTTAACTTGCTTAAAGGTGACTGTGTGGTGATCATCATCATCGTCATTTCTCAATATACGAACCTGGGGGTAACCAGGGGAAAATACAAGACGTTATGAAGTCGAATAGTTCCAACAGGGAATCGTGTCGAAGTGGAATCTCCAACCCATGAATCGCATCCCTTGAATGGTCAACCCGAAACACCGAAACAGGTATTCAGTGGAGTACCAACGAACTCTAATCCCAATACATGTATATAAACCCAGCGAAAGGTTATGTTATATTTCGAACAAACTTCGGTATCCGAGGGCATACAGAGAGCGGGCGAATTTGGATGACTCACGAACAAGGGCATAGAGAATGGTGGAAGGCGTGCTTGAAGGAAAAGTCTGAAGAGGTCCCAGCTTTCCTCGTTGAAGGGGTGGAGGCCCTTTGAAGACTCATCTGAAGATATCATCACCATCAGCTTCAACGCGCCCAGCGAATTACTACTAGAAGTGTTCTCCTCCAGCCTGATAGCAGCCATGCAACCCCGACCATCGGGCTCACCAGGCACCTTCACGCCGTACCTTGAGTGATACTTGGGGTCATACCATCTCAGCCGTTAATGGCTACACATTAACCTCAGCAATGCCTGGGTAATGGGATATGACCTCCGATACCTCCATGGTGGAGACATTCTCGCCTTTCCACCTAATACAGACTTACCTCATATACACAGGACAAGGACTCACCTGAATGTATCGCCAATCCTATCGATGAAATAGAAACGACCTCGACGATCCTTCCGCAGAAGATCTCCAGTTCGGAAGTAGCGATCACCCGGTACAAATGCATTGGTGACGATCTGATAAGCGAATCGAGCTAGGCCCCATACACGTATTGGGAAGTGTTCAACAAAGCATGGCGACCAAGGTGATTACTTTCTGATCGGTGGATTTCTTGTCTGTGTAGCCAGCGAAGGAGGATTCCGGTCGGCCCTCCCTTATAGGCATAAGGAGCTCTCCAGGTTCATCTACAGCATACCACAAGCTAGAACATCGGTATCGACAACAGAGCAGAAGAGAATGCAGCAACAACGATGACTACTTGTCCTAGCTTCAACACAGAAGCCCTTTCCATTCCTCTCCAAGGTTTCTTGCTCTACATTGAATCTACCGACAGACAGCACGTACGAATGATGCTGTAGCAGGCAGGTTACTTTGCCAGTTTGTACCCAAGAGCTTTACTGATAATAAGCCCTTGGATTCCCACCGCACCCCGATCTCCAATGTTGGTGGCTGAAGAAGGGGCATTTTCTAACCCGAGCAGCAGCCCAGAGTGGAGACTTACAAATATTTACCAGCCCACCGTTGCCCTCTGTAGCACCATAGAATTCGACCACTTGTGGAATTCCGAGCAGATCCAGGAAAGGCCCCCAAATCTGAGCACGCATGGAAACATATAACGGCATTAGAATTGATAGCCTCCGGTTCTGAGGCGGACCATGAAGTAATCATCTTCTCTATTACGTCTGGCCTCAAGCCGTTGCCGAAAGCAACACGAAGATGATGAGATCGATAGAGGGGATCATTGGGCCGCTGCCTAGCGGCCACCACGAGGTACCGACAGATCTCCCCGATGTAGTGTGCAACTGTACACCTGGAGGATGATGGAGAGGGGTTGCGGTGAGTCGAAGAGCAATGACCCTATCATAGGGATAACGACTACTGGGGCCGAATGAAAGCTTCCAATCGAACCGATGCGTGTAGCCGAACAGGCTGATGACTCTCTCGATCGAGAGGAAGATTAGCAGATGGAATGGGAGCTCGAAAGGGGAGTTGCTTGTCATCTTCAACGGGTCTTTTTGGTCGAGAACTCCCAACATAAAATTGACGTGACTATCTCCCTTAAAGGGAGTCCCTTTCAGCGAACACTCACTTGTATCGGTTGATATCTTGCCAGAACCTTCTCACAGAAAAGTGTCGGGCGAGCGCAATTGTGCATCCGGTATGAATAGCTGCACCAATCGCGAGCGCACCACCAGAGGAGTGGAAGAGAGGCAAGCACATGTAACTGAAGTGGACTCGTGAATAGGACAACTTTTACAGATGGTCGGTAGTTACATGACATCAGTCTCTGTTAGAGAGGTGCTTGCTGCCATAAAGGAGCCAAAGGCCCACATCCTCCAATGAGTGATGGCTGCTGCTTTAGGCATACCCTACAAATGGTTACTTATAACAAAGGAACACATCTCGTAATGATCATCATAACCCACCGTAGTGCCGGAGGTATAGATATAGCCAAACACACTCATCATGGTAACAACACTTCTGCGATATTCTTCGGTCCTGGCTGGGCGCGTAGTAGCTGCGCCGGGGAACCTGCATGCTGCACTAGTGGTATTGGAATGCGTCCGTAGACGGCTCACTCTTGATTCAAGGCCTCAATAGTTAAGCATGTCGCCCCTGCCACCGGAGTCTCTAGGGAGTCCCACTGTAGTAAGCGCCTACGAAGAGCTTGGGGACGAGAGATATAGGTTCCCTACACTCCGGCATTCTTAGCCCGAATTAAAGCTCCTGCAGATGCCATCTAGAAGGGTGGAGGAATGGGAAGCAGGGAACATGTGCTGGGTTTCACCTCGGCAGATGATTCGGCATCAAAAATGACCAAATCGGCTGCGGCACTGTCGATGGCACAGGCCAATGCATTAGACTTGATACTAGAATTAACAAATGCCGCCTGAGGAAGTTTACATCCGTCGTCATGCGGAGATCCGTACACTCACTTTAACACCAGCTTTAGCAGCTGCTAGCCACCAACATACGAAATCAGGCTTGTTAGCCATGACCAAGGCTAGACAAGACAAACCTGGCTGAAGGCCGACATGCTCCGACAGGTACCTTAGCAGAACGTCTCCATCCCTACCCAAAGGTGGCTTAGCTATCTCACCAGCACATGAGATTAGACAGTTCATCGACGTCTGCGAAGGTCATACGCCTGCCTTCGAATATCATAAAAACGTTATTCCCGTATCTTGACAAGAATTCGCTGAACTTACGAGCATTCGCGAGCATGAAAGGGCCCTCGAGATAGAATCTTCGACAATCTCCACTAATTCGTGAGTGATCCTATCCATAAGGGGACGCCAATTCTCTTCATGAGACGGTGATATCCAAGTACAAGTGTGGCATATGACGCAGTCTGGCCTCATCCTGCTGGTATTTCTTTGAAACGTGCACACTATTTAACAATACGGATCGGCATAGAAGCCGTGAGTTTGCATTCACGGCAAACACTTCGTGGTCACCTCCTCACTGATTCGTCCCATGTTGAGATTATATCTTCACCGATTCGGTCCAGTTTGGTAGCCTTAAGGAGGCTGGGAAGACTGCGCCTACAGTAGTGTGACTACATGCGGCACAGAAGACGATCAGGCTCCGTAGATCAATGCCAGCAGCCGAATAGATGAGTATATGCCTACCATATCAACATCATATCATGGCTCAGCGCCAAGAAGTGGTCCAATCCCAAGAACGAGAGATAGCCCAAGCTAGCCAAACCGATGCTCCTTCCACTTGGAAAATCGAGCATAGAATTCGCACGGGGAAGAGTAAAGGAAAGCTTCAAGAGAATGTTACGAAAAGAACCACCAACTCAATGATATGGTCAGCACAACCAATCTCTCCGGCCGGAGCAACTGAGCTATTCTAAGATATGGACAAGAAGGATCAATCTCGCATTGCAGATGGACTCACGTCCACTGTCGAATATGCGACCATGATTCTACAACCAATGGAGTAAGAGGGAAGCAAAGATTCCCACGGAATATCTCCATCGCGGGGCTTCCAGGTGCTGCACGATATCTTCGCCGAGAGTTTCTCGGGTTATGCTCGTAACAGGAGTTCTGTGACAGCACTAACAAAGTTGTTGGTGCTGTTAATAACAACAATCCTAGGCCAAATAAGTTAGTACCGTAATATGAATAGAAGTGACGGAGTGATAATCAAAGACACTCACTGAGGGAGTGTTCACCATAGCTGTTTGTCCTTCTGCTAGGTACGTCGAGCTACTGTGTAGGCGCTCGGAGCTGCATAGGGACCCAATTATGAGAGAGGAACCCGATCAAGCCGATTCCAACGGCATTGGTGGTCTAGCAACTCTGATATTGGGGGAACTCCTCCGATTACCCTTAAAGATGTGGGAGCAAATTTCACGAACTACACCGATCACACGCTCTCAACGAAAAGTTAACGCCCTCTTGTATGTCCGGATGCAGTGAAGGGAGTCGATAGTAAACAAGCGTTCGCGATAGTGGCTGTCTCCCTCAAAAGAAGGTGGTCCGCTGATTCATAATATAGTGCACCCTACAATCCGTCCTCCAGCCTATGACTAAAACGCCACGCACTCTAGATGATCGTCGAGTTACCCGAGTTAGAGGCAAAAAAGTGAGAAGCATCGATTGATATGTGATGAGCCGTCCTGATGATAATAATATTGGGAATGATTGGAGGTAGGACCGAGCGATGTGAGAGCATCACACATCAACGACTAAACGAATAATGAAAGCCTCTCTTAGTCGTATCCTCGCCAGACAACAGGGTTACCGTTAAAAAAACTTCAAAGTAATGGCAAAAGTGGAGAAGCGTATGTAGTACTGCATGTAACTGCCGGAGTTCTATATTTGGGCTTTCGGGTGGTGGGACCAACCCAGCCAAAAAATGATGGAGCCAAATGGAAGGACGATGACGATGATGTGCATAATCATAGAGAGACTAAGATCGAATGGATCCCACGGAAAGGCTACATCCTCTTGCAGCCGATAATTGAGCACCCACTCAATATGAACCAACAGAAGCAACTCCTCCTTCTCATCTGGGCTACTGGATCTTGATATCAGCACAGTTCCAGAACTGTTCACCATCTCTGGTCGTTTCACAGCTAGGCAAGGGCGAGCCTGCCTGACCAGCCCATGAACCATCCAGCTCGGGGTACTCCTTCTTGAAATTCTCATAGTAACTCTTATATCCCTTCACCAGACAAGAATTACCAGTTATCCAGTTCCACTGTATAGTGCAGAGTTCACAAGTGAGATCCTTGGGTAACTCGAAAGTCATGACGTAATCCATTCCATATGTAGGTGGAGGCAGATACCATCTTTCTGGATGTTCTTTGTCTAGTGGTTGGCAGTCGTAATTGCTGGCGTCGATATTCGTAGCGTTACGGCAGTTAGAGCGGGTTTTAGGATCGGGTCTCACGAGGAGATTCTTATTGAGGCAGTCTTGACCAGCCTTCTGGGTCGAGTACTTCTCACCGTTTAATCCACCCTCACAGATACGGAACTCGAAGTGACCCCAATGATGGACGGTCAAGTGTATTTCGATGTCGATGTTGTGACCATGAGTGTAAGTAGCCACTACCGGACCCTGTTGCATGTATATTTGCTTGTTGGGAGTCAATAGTCCAGTAGAGCTGCCCTCAAAAGGATCGCCACACAAACCATGAGTGCCTTCAGCGTCGTGGTTATCAGGGAAGGGAGCTTCCTCCGCTTGGACCCGGCCAACAGCTCCAACACTGTTTCCAGACTGAGGACTATAGTGATTTGTAGGGCTGGCGTCAGCATTCCTGGCCTTGGGGCTTGACATCCAGCCATGCCCGTTGACAGTGGCGATGATAGAGGAGATGAAGAGAATATGAAGCATTCGGGTTGACCCACCCCAATACAAACGTCTCAATGAATGACCTAGGACCAACTGAGCCGCACTCTCGGACATCAACCGGGGTCTAATGTGCAGTGCATGTGCGCAGTCGAACCGTATGAATGTCAAAGTACCCCTTTCACATTTCGTACGAGTTATGCACATCGCAGAGTAAAATTTCACCTTTTCCCGAAATTGTAAACTCAATACATACAAAAATGTTAGAAAAGATCAATCATAAAGGTAATGCCGTAGTAGAGTACAACAGGTGTTGCCAACCAGAGGGATTACTATCCGATGTAGGACATAGCTCCAGTCGGCTTAACAGCAAACAACAGTACCCCGAGTAACAACATGCGACGGCGGCGGCAAAGGTCAGAAAGTGGAACGCTGCTGTAAGAGCTTGCGAAAGACATGCTGTTAATATACCCAATTGAGCTGGACAGCCGATATGAAAGACCCTTGAAGACCATAATGCTTCAATTATAGTTGCTAGCATATAGCATACCGCATTCTTTATCACTGGTAATAGTAACAGTAAGTATGGTCGTATTAATGGTAAGAACAGTAGTAGTATCGAAGGATGAAACCGAAAAAATTCGCCCTTCTCTTGGTAACAACAACTTGACTAGGACAGCCAGCACTTAGTACTCGAACTCCTTGTTGAGAATCTCTCTCAGTTCCCTAACATGGTCAGGGACATCAACGTTGAGAGTACGGTTACTGGCCTCGTAGTTCACAGGAACTTCAATGAGATGGACACCATGCTCGTCAAGGCACTTATTGAGGATTACAGTAAGCTCATCAGCTCTGGTGACACGATAACCCTTAGCACCATATGCCTCGGCATATTTGACGAAGTCGACATTATTCAACTGTAGACCCCATTTGGGCATTCTGGAGGCACTCTGTTTCCATTCAATCATACCAAAGGCATTATCATTGAGAACGATCTGAATGACGTCAAGACCAAGTGTAACTGCAGTCTCCAACTCTTGAGAGTTCATCATGAATCCACCATCACCAGAGACAGCCACAACCTTATGATCGGGTCGGACCATCTTGGCGGCCAGAGCCGAGGGGAGACCAGCTCCCATACTGGCAAGTGCATTATCGAGGAGGAGGGTGTTAGGCTCCCGGGCCTCATACAGCCTAGCAAACCATATCTTATACATACCATTGTCGAGGCATACAACGCTCTTCTCTGGCATGCAGTTACGTATGTCTTTAACGACTCTACGAATGTCCATAGGGAAGGCATCTGAAGTGGTATAGATAGAATGATGCATCCGTCTCTGTGCCACTTCACGTATCTAATACAGACATAACTAACTTGAGACTGTAGAGAACCTACAACCTACCTTCTCGAATACAGCAAAGTCCCAATGAGGCTTCGGCATACTCTTCAAAGTCTCGGTTATTTGCCATACCGCATTGCCAATATCCCCAACAACCTCATGATGAGGGAAATACACTTCATCGACTACAGCTGGATAAAAGTTAACATGAATGACAATAGGCTTATTGTTATGCTTCATGAAGAATGGTGGCTTTTCAACAGAGTCGTGTCCAATATTAACGATGAGATCGGCCCAGTCGACCGCAGTATGAACCCAATCGTTTTGGGAAAGGGCCAAAGCACCGAGGAAGTGAGGACTAGTCTCATCAACAACACCCTTGCCCATCTGTGTGCTCACAGCATAGATACCCGTCTCGTCGATGATCCTACGTAGCATCTTACTGGTCTGCTTACGATTACATCCTGAGCCGATGCAGAGGAGGGGCCGCTTGGCAGCATGGATGAGAGCGACTGCTTTAGCAATGGCCTTTGCATCAGGGACTGGTCGACGTACTTCCCCAATTGGGAAAAGGTACTCATTGGGACCCAGGGTATGCCCGGCAATATCCTCAGGAAGTTCAATATGAACTGGACCAGGCTTCTCCTCCAATGCCTCCCGGACAGACTCTCGAATAAGCGAGGGAATAGCATCTGACAATGATTGATAAAAGCAGTTCTCATTACCCCAACATCCATTCTACCTGCATCGGGGACCTGGTTTGTCGATTTGGTTATAGGTCGGAAATGATCAACAATATCCACGATTTGGAACTGTCCCTGTTTGGAATGCCTGATTGGCTTCTGTCCAGTTAGGACCAACATAGGCATACCACCAAGCTTAGCATATGCAACAGCAGTTGAGAAATTAGTAGCACCAGGTCCTAGTGTCGACAAGCAGACGCCAGGCTGACCAGTAAGCCGGCCAACAGTAGCTGCCATAAAACCAGCTGCTTGCTCGTGTCTCGTGAGGATGAGCTTGATCCGACCCTCTTGTTCAGCCACACGAATCGACTCTAGGAAATCTAGATTCTCCTCACCAGGGATACCAAATATATATTTAACTCCCTCTGCCTCTAGACATCGAACTAAAGCATCGGTACCTAGGAGACACCATATGATCACTTAGCGCAGCGCACATCCCTTTGTACATTTCATATTGCCCAAGCATGGGGCATTGGTAACCATATCATCGAGTGACATACCCGGTGTATACTCCATAGAGTCCATCACCTCGTTGCAGACTTCTGTTGTATATGCATCCATGTTAGTTTGACAAAACAGCTTAAATCAGTATATACCCACGCAACTCATCACACACGTAGTAGACGACGCTAACGCATCGTTCAATCTCGCTCGCCCAAAAACACAAAACTTTTTTCTACCACTCGACAAGAACATCCAACATGGTAGACGCTGTTTCCAAAAAAAACATGGTAGACGAGCAGACTGCGGCAAATGAGGTACACTGGTTGAGCATCCACCACCCGCTGAATCGGTGATACCACTGATTCTCTTGTGCCACAGTTATGGGACTACTGCGGTGAACCGTGGGGTATATGTTTGCCACGCTAACTTGTTACGAACTGCAATGTATATGGTTCCTCATAGTTAGTGAGCAACTAAACCGTTTGCTGAGTAGTAGCAGGCAATCGTTTAACCAAGACCTTATGGTATTAGTACGGCGAGGGAGTGTATCAGCAGCGGAAAAGGCACCCGGGCATCCAAAGAGTATGATCAGCTTAGGCCAAGTCAGTTTCCCGGACCCCGAGCCGGGTACGACCTACCCGTCATGCAAGAGTGTAATGGAGAATAGATCAACCATAGAGCCTGTAGCAATCGTCCATAATAGGTCTTCCCATCTGCTGGAGGACTATTAGCCGTCCCCTTGAGGCCGAAAGTTATCAGAGCGCAGTCTGCCGCTGCCGCTCCCATCAGTGAGGTCGTTATATATTAAACTTATTGGACTGTGGTGAGCTCAGGTACCTATCGTGCCGACTATGTTAACGAGCCGGAATCCTCTTGCGGTGCGACTAACAAGCCTCTACACACGTAGGTTCAAAGGTTAAGGAGACAATTTGTACACATAACAATCACTAGATACCACCCTAACGCCAAGCGTTCTCGCCTACCGGGTGACAAGTTCAAGCCGTTGGATCGGAACAAATCAAACGTGAGTTACTTAATGTGGATAATGAGCTCCTCTCAATAGGCCTGGCTGATAGGTAATGATTGAAGTTCGAGATATCAAGGATCCAAGACAGTTCTGGACAACACATAGGTGAGCTATAGGCCATCCACCACGTAAGCATGTGGAACTACTACTTAGGAATTACCATCGTGGAGCTGGTGGGGTTCAATCGTCCAATCTCTCCATTATAGCCAATAAGACTAAGAACTTCCACCGCTTCCAACATCAAGGATGAGCATATATACCACGGTTGTAATGATACGTTGTTGTACCAGTTATGAAATCCTTGCGTTCTCAACAGAACAACTTCATCAAACACGACATGGTCTCAACAACCTTCGAACAGCGGGCCGCAGCTTCTCACACGGTTTTTAGTATTCTAATCAGCACTAAAGCAGAAGATGCCTACAGTGCCACTCAGGCGGCGACAGCGATTACCGTCTTGGCATTGAGCCTCTGTCGTTGGTAGCATTCAACTTTCCTCGACATACGACTAATCCAACCAAGACCCTTTTCATAATGACTTCATAGCAAGACTCGAGACTAACTCGTTGGGTCAGTCACTTGGCAAATTTCCTCGGCCCGTAAAGGGACAGATACGTTGTGTCGCGCAATATTCGGCGCTACGAGTGGTGCTTCAAAAATAGCTTGAGAGGTAGCACTCCAGTTATACTTGACTACCTTATCTTTCTCCTGTCCACTCTGGCAAAGTGGTGTGGCATGTTACATTCTTGTAGAGCCTCATCACATTGGCTGAGGACTCCGCATGTACAACATTGTCCTTCAGCTCGGGATCTATAGTCAAGGAGTAAGGGAGCCGTGTAAATTACCTGGGGTACACTTATTCGATCCCATTCCATAGCAGGGTTTCCGAATCCTCAGTGGCTTGTGATAGTGCTCAAATTGACGATCATGCCTTAGAAACAGTAATTACTCTTCGTCACTCGATGAGGAAAGATCGGCGTAAGACGTGCACTCGGGACCGCAACATACCTGCTAATGCCAAGACGTTATTGAGTAGTACGACATTCTAGACTTTGACTCTAGCTCTGCATAGCAGCGGTCCAGTAATTGTATGCAATGGGTACAGTGGTTGGTCTGAATATAGGCAATCTCGCTTCGCCGTTACGGCATACCAACTTTGATACGGTCGAATGTAGCTCTTGGAGTTGCCGGACGACCTACACAGAGAGAATTCCATTTAGATCTCGATTGGAGTTGGTATTCTTGCTCGTGAAGTCGAACGTCAACAGAGATTCTTAGCAAACATAGATGTCTTGTACTTGGCTATGAGTTGGCAATGGAATGGTATATCCCTGATATTACTCCCCGCTCTAGTACCTCCTTCAACCTTAATATCATCACCAACATCTCCTGCTTGATCCCGGGCCCTAAGAGCCGCCCTTTGGAGCTGTTCGAGCATGGTCACGGGCTACTACTATCGGATGATGACATGGTGAGGTAAAGAACTACTCTACGGTAAAAACCTATCAAGCACTCACAGGGAGTAGCCTCTAGCATAGACATAGGACGGGTATGATAGATGACACGAACCACGACATAAATTATCATATGCCCCGACCACTCTAAAGAATAAGTCGTAGCATAGGTTTCGTTCGGAACCGGATATGCCCGCGATGGGCTCATATAGAACATTCCTTAGGTAGGTAACTGGAGGTCCCGGGTTCAATTCCAACATCCTCCACTTTTTGTGTTTCAGAGCAACTCGCTTGTAAGACTGTGCGATACTTACTGCGTTCGCTGTGAGAACTTTCTCATGATCACCACTGGAATCTAGCATTGATCATGCTGTATTTACAGTCAATCGTGACAGCATTCTATAACAACTGCTATGACAGACTGCTCAACTGTCATAATATCACCGGTCCATCGACTTACTTTAAGCCTTTCTCTGCCGGACCGAAAGCTAACATTAAAAGAACCCTCCTGTGAAGGGGAGGAAACTCGATCGAGTGAGAAACTTGTCGCTACCGCTGTTCATGTCACATTCACAGGTATTACACGAGTTCCAAGCCCTGATTGTGAATGGGCCAATTCTGATCCGCCGATTCGACGCCCAGCTGGTTTCCCTCAAGATAAGCTCTTCCTACCAGTTGAAGTGAGTGTAGCATGGTTACTACCTACTATCACTTATATGGTAGGTTCGACCTCATCGTGGATGTCTGTGTAATCAAGTTCTCACTAATGCTGAAGTTCCGAGCCCGTGCAGCGCGGAGGACTACGACCTTCGTCCAGGGGAAAACGAAGACTCGTCCAATAACCGGACGAAGTGTGATGTCATGGATCGATTCAGGTCAACTGGAGGTTTTCGGAACTTGTATTACTGCTCTTTTCTCCTAGGTTCGACGCTTTAGGTGCATCTCTGTGTAGTGGGCAGCACATAATTATAGATGGGAATATTCGGAGACTCGTTAACACGCAGTGCCAGGATCACATGGTAGGAATCATTCTGTAGAGGTTTTGTGGTCATATATCGACCCAGGCAAAATGCCCTAGGATGCGTATTAGGTCGCAGTAGTGATAGTGAATATTGAGCAAGATATGAACCGAGTTATCAATCTACTGCCCGACAGTACAAGTGCGGCCACAATAAACACAATCTCGATGGACATGCCCAACGGACTTGCCCCTTATGTCAATTTTTTCTGATTAAAACCGGACGTATCTAATTTCGTCCTATCAATGATGACCTGATTTTCATTCTCCGTTGTATACATATTGTCATCTGCAGGAGGAGACTGACGCTTTCCGTTCCTACTGGGATCCCTCCAACTATGAGTCGTGGCGTGATCGTCAAATTGAAAGTCGTCATAGGAGCATGAGGAGCTCTTCGTCATTGAACAGATGTTATCCTCAGCCTCATGCCATGCGGAGGATAGAGCGCCGCGTTCACAGTAATAAGATTCTACTACAGAGACGAACAAGACGGGGTTGTCATTGTATCAGATGTGTATGCGGCTCGAGCATATCTCTCGTGGAAGGATTGGCTCCGGCAGAATGCCTCAGGTCCGAAGAACGGTGGTAGACCAACAGCCGGAGATCGTCGACAAAAGGTGGATCACCGTCTGTAGAGTTATTCCTATCGAGTTTCCATCATCTCCTGCATGAACCAAGGGTAACAATGGTACTAAGGAGAAGATGATTTGATTTAATAATACCTTCCGAGTGTAGAGTGGTTAACCCTGTTACTACTGTTACATATCTTAGTGTAGAAGATGCTGTCAATCAAGCAATATGAGTTTAAGATGACTCTGTCTATACTTGAGTAGTATTCGAAGATGGTTTTGATGATGAAGTGCTTCCTTTCTGATAATGATTTTTCTCAACACTGGTATCTTGCTGCTGTTAGTATAGTGTCCATAATTTATAATCATAGATATGATCATAGTAGTAATCTCCTCTGCAGGCTACCTGTGTGTAAACCTTCTCAGTGGTGGTACAAATTGGAAGTCCGGAAACTTCTTGATGGTCAGCATTCCATTTATTATGTCATCACAATCATCTATCAATTATGGTTCAAACATAGAGTTCTGCGACGTCGTGCGTTGTAGCGGTCGGGAGCAATAACTCTGTGGTTTTTGTATTATCTACCAAAGGTATTTTTCAGTCTATCGAACAAGTCTTGAGTTCAGTCCACACGTATCGAAGAGTGATGGGCTCCTCCCGTCTATGCTACATCTCGTAAATGCCTCCCTCCTCGTATTCCAAACAATTTCGCGGAAATTTCGTAATCAGCTCCGCTGTCACTGAGGCCGATTCTTTATGTGGGGCCGATATGCCATACTGAGACCAGTATGTATCTCCCAATGGGTGACAACAATCTAGTGCTGCTCAGATATGCGATGAAGCCTGAGGATGGCATATCGGCCCCAGGCAGCAAAGCGGTGTAGATATTACGTGGCAGGGTTGGAAGGTACATGCCTGGCCCCTGAGTTGAGCTCAGGAGTCCCTCCATTAATTGAAGGAGTTCACATACTAATTTGGGCAGTACTCACAAACCGACTAAAATTTCCTCAAACTTTTCGTATTCTCAACAGCATGTGTAGTTAACCATGTGCATATTTCCCTACGTTGCTGTATGGTACTACCACTCAGAACTTGACCGCTTGGCAATGGTCAACTCTGCGGTATGGTTGTTTTGATGAATAAAGGATAAGGCATTAATGAAGGTAGCAGCCCTATATCAACAGGAGATAGTTGCTTCTTGTTCAAAGTGTTCAATGCCTGTTATCAGCCACTCTCTATATCGAAGCGGGTTGGTCTCATCCAAACAGCTTGTATGGCTGGACCAGGATTAATCACTGTTCTGTTTGCTCTCAACGGTAACATAAGACACTCCCTCTCTGAATGTTATATGCATTTGGTTGAAGTCGTCAATAGCAGATTAGGAACAGCGTTGGTTCCTCTGAGTATCTCAGCCTAGCTTCATCTGCGCGAGGTTTGAGGCTGAGTGATGCGTTCCGCACATTATAGGCCTATTTACCCAATGGTCAGATTTTCATGGCTCTACATTGTTCATCTCATACCTGTCACGAATATTCATCAGAAGAATCATCGCAAACTTCACTTCTTTCTCGCTAATGTGCAGTTCGCCTCACCCACATGGATCCCGCTCGGGCGTCCGATAGCGACCTGAGGAACAGACGATGATGGCCAAGGCGAGGCAAACTCCTATCCAACCCTCATCCCTATAGTTTTGTCTTGTGCCTTCCGTCATCAATCGGTTTCTCCTTCATTTAGGTATCTGCATGATCTGATTGAGAACCTTGTGTATCTCGTGATACGGCCTCAACAAGATTCTCGTTGAGGCCGCTGATGCAGCAGCAGATTCTTTTGCTAAGGCCGCAGTCCCGGTGGCTGTGGAGGAGTGGCTGGCATTGGACGGGAACCTGATGGTTGATTTAATGGGGAAACGGCACTGAGCTTCAGACCGCCTCTCTCTCACTAGCTACTCCCAGCAGCTGGAGTTGGGTTGCTGATGTACAGCTGCCACCTCTGTCATAGGTGCTGGCCACCCATGAGCAGGTTATGCAGGGCTGAATTAACCCTTAGCCATGCATGGACGATTGCCCTGTATACCATAGTTAACAGAAACTCTGATCCCCATAAGCTCAGTGTCGTGTCCCAGTCAATAGCCGGTCTCCATATGGCAGTCCACGGCATTCCTATAGCGTGTGTGATAGTCGATAGCCACCTTCTTCACCGCCGCCATGTCTCCGAAGCGTAGCTTATCTCGCAGTCGCTCGGTGGGTCCACGGAAACGCATGAAAGGGAAAACAGAAGAATCCAGCGTTGAGGGCATATCGCTAAAGGATTGGATGGAGATACAGGTCGGCATGGCCACCATCGCTCCTGTCTTAGTCGTGTGACTCGTTAGATCAGTCTGCGGCATCGTCTTGTGAACCAAGAGACGCAGAGGATCTCCAGACTAGGTTGGTATTCATCTCTCTCGTCCGTTCAATTGTGTATCTCTACTAGCAGGCCCATGCAAGAGCGGCAACGGTGCTCGAGAGGCGGCAGACGCTTTACTGAAATTATTGAAACAGTCGGCTGACCTCGGTGAATCCGTGAGCGCGGTACTGATAGGTCCAGAAGGTGAGATGCCATTGAATAAGGCTCTATCCACATCATGTGCACATTGTAAGGCTGTGGTAAGAGCGCTGCCCTCGCTGCAGCGGTAGAAGAGTTGAGGGAACAGAAGCCCGATCTCAAGGTAAGATGCACCTCTAGTGTTATAGCTCGCCGCTCCCTATACTGTGGCCTCTGTCAGGTCATAGTCGTCCATGCTAAAGGGTCAACATCATCCTCCAACGATACCGCAGTCTTGCGTGATCTTTATCTCAAGTTGGTACATGAGATCCAAGGCAGAGAGGCGTCCTTGGGGCTTAGCAGTACAGCTCCTAGTCGTCAGGGATGGACCTTCGCTGACTACATGGCAAAGGTTATCGCACACCTATAACTCGGCATCAGCTTCATCAACAGGTCGAGAAACTAATCAAAGACAGCAATGAGGAATTAAACTGCATGGTTATCGTAGCCGTCGACAGATTCCATGCCTTCTGTCATACAGCTGCCAAACAGACGCTTCTGTGAGTCCCTTGCTGAACTACTTCAGCTAGTACCACCATCTCAGCTACAATTTATTCGACGTCATGCAGCGACCGGGTATCCGACTTGCCTGTGTTGGCATGACTAACCGAGATGACGTCACGTTTATGTTGGAGAAGCGGATCAAGTCTCGCTTCCAATTAAGAATGTGAGACATTGCGAGGCACTCTATGGGAGCCTCGTTCGGCTATGATGCGAGGATTTCCCGTGGCCATTGACATTGGACGCCGATCCTCTTAGGATACAAGTGCATCCCCCACCAACAATAGATGAGACACGAGCCGCCCTCATCGCACAGTTCTCGGTGATGGAGGCCAAACCACTGGTGAGCTCGGGAGTTCAAACACAGAGCTGCTCATGCCGTCTCTGTCAGTCCCAGAAGTACAATGCATGGTTGAGAGAGTCATTGGAAACTGAAGCTGCCACGAAGTTCATACGTCAACGAGTTGACAGAACAGTCAGCATGAAGGAGGTCCGCTTTTCTCGAGTGACATCGGACTATCATTCATGCCTTTTTTTCAGTTCGTTCTCGATCTGTTAGATCGCTTATCCACGCCCCCTGGAGGCCGCCTACTCTTCTTCCCGCCCATTTCGACTGTGGATGGCTTCTCTAACATGCTCTTATCAGGTGAGAGGGAGGCATTCTCCTTTGGGTTCCGCCGTTGCTGGTGCTCAGAGTAACAAACTAGACTCAGGTTCTGAACAACTCGTGTTGCTCGGACTGGCCAGATTGCATGTGAAGTCCTTCACCCCGAAGAACTTCGAGTCAATCCAACAGGAGCTCTCTTTGTTTGACAAGAGACGACTGGAGGTTTATAGCCGTGGAGCGTATCTCAAAGCCTTCAAGCATCTCCGAACACTCGGTCTCATACAGGCAGGGGGAGCCGTTTCTATGCTGCACCCTTATCGCGATTCTCTTGCAGGTGTTCGATGCTACTACTGCATGCGCCAGCGGAGATCTTCGGACGATGCCTCTCAGCTGCTTACCATGTCGATGCTGTCACTCCTTGAGCACAATACTAGAATCTGGTAACTGACATCGCCGTATAGTGCCCAAAGCGGTGTATATAATTCCACTAGTCTCTGACAGATGCCTGTGTAGGTATCATCCATGAGCGCTTCAAGGGTTGGGCGACAGAAAGCATCATACAAAAGCAGGTTGAGGGTCTCGTATAGGCATGCTAAACCAAGTGCACGAGGGCTTTTATCAAAGGGAAATGTCGTGTCGAGTTGTTTCAGTGTATCGAAGAACATGTGTGTAAGAGCGAGAGTAATATAACCAAGGCGATTGCATAACCAACCATAACTAAATATAACAATGCCAATGCGATTGCAATTTAACGATGGCTCTGTTAATTGATTCAGCTGCTCAGTTACCGCACATTAACACAAGGCACCGGGTGTAAAAACCTTCGATAACCCACATACTGCGATATACAGGTTACTTGATCATGTCCTTGATAGCAACGCCTGTGCCGATAAATGCGAAAACAATGCCGATGAGCATAACAGACCAAGCCTTGACAGCTTTCAGTGTCATCCGGTTACCTAAGTCACAACGAACATGACGAGAACAATCAGCTGTTCGCAGTCCAGTTGGGCTACCAACATCACGGCGCATGACTACCTGTGACTAAACAGATATAGAAATACGATGGTAGGATATAACACGTGAGCGCACCACTGGTGCTGCCCACGAGCTCAAACACCTGTGCCATTGACGGTGCCAATATGGCACAACCAAGGGACAGAAGAACCTAATTGTAACACTCTCTGAGGGAATATACTCCAGCAGCCCACCGTCATCGCAGTGAGCAGTATCACAACAGCACGACTCGCACGGCCGCTATCGTCCGAGTCAAACCGAGATGGATACAAGACCTGATACTCGATGACTGATCCAATATGGAACGGGAATACCAACCAGTAACGCAGATTCCAATCCGAATCGCGCGGGAAAAATGCATAGAGGATATGCAGCCACAATAGCGATGGCCATTCCTGAAAGGGGAGGCCAAGCACGATGAGGTCACATGACTGAGTTGATCTGAAGGAGCTCTTACCTATAAATGCTATGGTTACATCGAAGCTATCTTTGAATAGAGGATTGTAGTTATAAAGTATATTATCCTTCGTGTCAAATCCCCAAGTATAGACACCAGCAACGCCCACTCCGAAATATACACCCAAGCAGATGAAGACCGCCCAGAAGGCCACCGATCGCATCCTAGTAGCCTGAGAATAACAATATCAACGGTTATGAATTACTACAGGTATACTCGACATCGCCTCCGCGTCTCGGATTCCTTCAACTCCGCGTATATCGCAGGAACATTCGGCTGGCATGCGAAAGCAAAGGTTACCAAGGACATCGTACGGACAACCTATGTTTGAACCAACGAGTAGTAGTAGTCGTAGTAGTCGTAGAAGATGTTATCAGCCATGAGTCAATAACTTACACCAGGCCAACCGCACGCCGGCAGCAAAGGTAGCATCATGCTCTCCTCCATCCGATGCCCTCCCATGATGGCTTCGAATATGATGACGAAAACAAGTAGGAATACCGACATGACTCCTGAGAGTTCGAGTCGCCGAGCCTTATGGACAATTACATACGTACCAACTAGGCTTGGTATCCGGAGCTCACTCACTTTCTCGGCTAAGCAGAGGGGGTAAAGTATAACCAAAACCAGGATACAGAGCATGATGTCAGTACCCGACGAGCTTTGGGCGCCCTCCGCAGTAGTAGGCAGTGGGAAGGACAGCAGTGCGCAGCCAATCGTGTAACCTAAAATACCACTCCCGAACCACACGAATGTTACCCGCGACTAGCCCAAGTTAGATGGCAGTAAATTAATATGAAGACTCACCTATTTGCCCGAGAGTGATGAGATACCCGACAGCTGTACCAAAGCAGAAGGTTATGACGCTGATGATAGCAAGTAGAGCCAATCTGACATGTGATGGTGCGCGACTACACAGACATGGTATCTTGCCTCCGTCCTCGAGCTGGATTAGAACTACAACTAAAAGCCAGCTTTTCAAAGGTCTGGCATCTTGAGACATCCATGCAATCCTGAGATATACACAAGCCTCCAGAGCTCTGAGGAAGACCTTGGAGACCCACCTGAATGTATCCGATTGTCGTAACGGAGAGGGAGCCACAAACAAGTAGGCAGAGAGAAGCAACAAGATAGCCAGAGTTGCGGAAGGCGTAGGGCAGAGACAAAGCTCCTGCACCCAAGGTGGCCGTTGTGAGATTGAAAACGGATGACCTGAATACAACACTATCAGTTGAAAATATATAATCGATCATAGAACTGCTTCCAATGGAGATAGATGCAAACCTAGAAAATGGAGAGCGAGCCGACGGCAAGGGGAAAAAGCAAGAATTATCATGCGAAGAGATAGCTCACCCTGCTACCTTATCCCTCCGGCTTGCATGAACTGTTTCCTCTGCCGTGGTGCTATTGCTGTGGTGCTTATTTCAGATTGAGCTGTTACATTTAGCTGTTTGCAAGCATCGAGATGACCCAGAGTACACTTCCCATGCCCTCACTTGTGTATCATCATCATCGTCTACTACCATACGAACCTCAGGGATGTAGCCATGCTCCAGTTGTTCCTCAACTCGATCCACGAAGCCTCTATTCCCACCTATGAGGGGCGAGTGGACCAATACCCGTACACTGCTCGAGCCGTACCTTCTGTGCCTTCCACAGGGCTCCACCACATCCAGTCGCCGGGATTGTCGAGAACAGGTTCAACCTTCACAGCGCCCTGAATATTCCCTCAAGGAAGGTGATAATGTGTTGGGAAAATTCACAAGCACCGTGGATCGAACCGACGACCAGCTCTACTGAAGCTCGATCCCGTTACATGATACCAGTCGAGTGACGTGATCCACTTTTTAGTGAACCCCCGAAAGTGTAGCTTTCCTACATTCGTAATATCTGTCGTGCATGCCCGGACACGTTCAGATATCCCTCTGGCGATTGGAGAGCCCAATAGTTCGGAGTCGGAAAACTGTCGTCTAAGAAAGGATGAGTGCACTGGGTGGCGAACGAGGTGGAACTGCTGCTCACCTGAGCACAGTGTTGGGGTAGAAGAGTGGCCCTACATCGGGAACGTAACCCCATACACGGACGAGGTGATGGGTCCTCAAAGTTGAGGCGATCGACGCGACCCTGCGGAGACCATCGTTCTTAATATCCTCACCCGAGGACGACAAGGTGCTCCTCTCTGAGGGAAACCAACTGTATGAGCGACAAGTACCATACGAATGAGAGTGAGCGGGTTCAAGGCCATCGGACTATCTAGGATCATGAGTGTTATTCCTTACGTTTTGGCATAGCACTGAGTCGACTCGGGGTCAATAGGGACCTGACGAGGTCACTCGGCTTCTCATGCTGCTGCTGTTGTGATGACATTGGTCAGGAGAACAAGTAGCAAGTATTCGCATGATCTACCCCAACGGATAGGAGTTCTCCCAACCAGCATTGGGTATAAGCCACCAAGCTACTGAGTGGGCTAATGAGCGTCGAATCAGCATCTTTCAGAAGATGCGGATCGTGAAACTATAAACTCAACCTTGTCATGACGGCGAGACTCGTGTACCATGCTCTCGTGATACTGCTGCCACCGAGCTCACCTACTCAAGGCATCAATGGCCTCCGGATAGGACTGACTCTCGAACCACGGAGGGAGATGGCAACACAGCGGTATCATTAACCTCGGCCGTAGTGAACTCAGCTCTGCCTGAAGTAACAATAGAGCAGTGCAATTGGTGCATAGGCACCAAGGTCGACCTATCTTATGTGCAACATGTCTCATGGTGTGGTACAGTGTATCGACACTGTCAGTGGCTGCTTCTAACAAATGCATCTACGTTATAAAAGGTACCGCTAGTTTACAGAGTGGCCTACTCTTGCCTGTCTTTTGCAGCTAGCAATGTGCACACGTTCGAACCGCGGTATGGCCGCTTCTACTGCTACCGAGATAGGTATGAGATCGCGACCTCGAGCATCTCCACGCAACAGCAAGCATCTGCACATTCAATACATCTCTTCAGCAAAGGGTGTCCACTGAACCCAACTAACTTCTTCAAGAACTCGTCAGCGTCAATACCGCCATTTATGCCCCTGACCTCATCCATGATAATGCAGAGATCCATCACGTCCTACTGCTAGAGAATACTCCATAACTAATGCCGTGCATGCTCTTACTGTGCTGAGGATGTCTATCCGATTCAGAAGGGCGCGTATTCTATCATCCTTCAGCGATGCTCGTATCTCCTCTCTATCGACAACCTGTCGTGTTCACTGTCCCCGGCCAGAGCGGTGATGACACGTACTCCAGAGCCATCCGTATCCGTAGTGAGGAACACTGTCTTGAGAGCCTCTACCTAGGACATGGAGCACAACTGTCAACAGCCCCTCCTACGCCTCCTCACAATCCTGTCATCCTCCATCTCTCTAATCTTAAGCGCATGGACTTCGTTGTTCCTGCTACATACCTACCACACCAGCTCATCGAACCCCTCCTAGACGCATGCACCGAACGAAAATGGCTTCTTTAAACTCTAGAGATCTACCCGACTACTGATGCGGTGATGGGAATTCGGATCTGTTCAGCGTCACGCTGTAAAAGGTATGAGTCATGGATATCCGGCGCATTGCCCTTGTGGAATCCAGTCCATGGAGACCTCAAGTCGGAGAATGATGACAGAGTGAGTCATCGTTCAAGTAGCACACAATTCCCACTCGGAGGATGTCTCCATCGTTTTATGAGTAGAGCAGTGGTGCCTACCTGAGCACTCTCACACATTATTCCCAACAGCTGCTGCATGACTGCGAATGTGGTGAATAATATAAATAGGATAAACATGAGAGCATATCCAAGACCCTTAACAGGATTGCTCTCCATCACCAGGGGACGCACTATACTACTAGACCAATCGTCGAGAGTTGCTACCCAAAAGAATGGCTCGATGCCATTGCAGTTAGCCCATCGATTCACAATAAACTGACCTGGAGAAGGGTGAAGCAAGATCTCCAGACCGACCCCCAGTACGTGTGGCCATCCCAACCCCACTCGTTACGGTATTCGATACCGTGTGTCGGTAAAAGTAGGGTAAACACCACCCCGAAAACGTAGAGAAGCACGAGTAACAGCAGTGCCACCCACACAGTTGCTCGCGCTGACTCAACCATACCGTTTACGACGATCCACAGTTCCCGATAGCCCGGTCCAATAGTGATCACTTGCATCAGTCTGAGTACTCTTAGTGCCCCGAACACTGATAGGATCTTCACTGACGTTGCTGCTGATACTACAACGTCAACCCATTGTACAGCCACCAGTACAATGTCCAGTTTTGACCAGTTGTTTCTCAAGTAACTCCGCCAACCCTCCGCATAGACTCTTATTGACATTTCCAATGTGAAACAGGTGGCGAACAGTGTCTCGAGCATAATCCATTTCCGCCCATTGGGGTCATCACTGTTTGCACGAAGACCAACGGTGAGGGCATAAGCTGTTATTAGTAAACCAACAGCCACTTTGAACTCAATCCTGTCGACTATACCCTCTGGACCACGGTCGGATTTCTATAACGAATAAGCTGTTCTCTCTATCTTTATCTACCTCCCACCTTTCGAGGAGCTACATCAAAGCCTCGAGACTTATTCTCCGCCCCATCACGATCCCGGGGGAATTTTCCCATCGATGAACGCCCGGCTGGATCGGCAGTTGAGGGATGCGTCACATTTGCCATGGAGAGAGTGGGACCATGACTGAGATCTGCTCAATCAGTGCCGGGAGCCAAGCCTCGAAGCTCAAACGACTTCAGTGACGCCCTCACGATATCTTGCGTTCTCAAAAAAATCCCACTGCCCAGATCAGAGCTTCGTTTCAGAATACTTAGATTCAACTGGTCAGTCTTTCTGGTTCGGTGTCCTGAATGGGGAAACCAAAGACGAGAGCGGACCATGCCGCAGCCCGTGAGAGAAAGGAAGAGAAGCGAGCAAGGAAAGCTGAGGCTATGCAGAAGGATGCTCAACAGGTGCCTTTCGAATCCTCTGTACATGGGTGCTTCGACCAATGGGATATCGATATCGATGGATATCGATCGGATCTGATCGTACCAATGGGGATAGGAGCGCTCGTTGTTGGTCAGATTTCGGATAGTATCAGGAGGCAGTATTATGATGCGGAAAAGGCTTATATCAAAATGAACGAACAGGTGGAGAAGTAAGTTGCTAAATTCGGGATAGACGAGACGCCTCTTATTGGCAAGCAACGACGGCAGTATGCTCGGTCTGTTGACATCTACTCATTGTGATCGTCGTAATATTTCAATTGATTTGTTTCCAGATTGAGTGCCCGCATAATGTACGAGATGCGAGAAAAAAGGTTGGCGGAGCTTTCGAAGAAGCATCTGGCCGAGTTTCAGGAGATCGATGATGGGACGCCCACGACCGTAGGCTCTAGTGCTGCCCGATCGCAACCCTTGGAGGTAGATAGTCGGACCAGTGATCATATCAGGACCCGACATGTGTCGACGAGGTCAATCGCGTGCGCTTCTTTCGACCAAGTGGTCGGATGTTCGTCCTGAGCGACCGGAAGGAAATGTTAGATTCAGCCGAATCAATGATCAAGAACTGTGAAGAGTTGATTCCAAGACTCAAAGGTATTCATGACAGGTTCGTTGAGAAACAGAATGAGGTGCGTCTCTCGACACTGGACACGTTCATGATCGTATTACTGGCAGGCGAAACGCAATGTCCAAGATGTACTTGAGATGGTTCAAAAACTAGGCGGACGCGCTGTAGATAAGAGTGATTCGGCACCCACGTGATGAATTAGTCGATAGTTGGCAACACATGTATTAGGTTGATGATTGGTATCTCATTTTGTATGTCTGTTGTGTTCTTCCATGCGACGCATTTCTGCCTGTTAATTGAAGTGTAGTATATGGCTCGTGGAGAAGTGTTGATATCATTACTGTCCAACCGAGTGATATCGATAGTGGAACTTCGTGAAGTTGAACACTTACCACTTACGGGTTCTCTGACATATATTTATTTCGAGGTTCTGTGGCACAACGGTAGCGCATCTGACTCTATATCCGTTAGGGGGCACCCCTGAAATTTTCAATCATCGATTCACTGACCACTTGGAGAGTCTCTAGCATATGTACTCCAGCTCGTTATCAGGATACGTGACGCAACCGTAGCGAGTATGACTTCGGGTTAGAAGGCTATCCGTTCGAAGTGATCGGGAGCGTATTCAGCCGGAAAACTCCTCCGACGATCTTTCTCGATACTTTCCCACACACGTTTTTGAGGTGACTCAGTATGGTTTGGTATATGCAGGACTATCGACTCCACTTTGCAGACCGCAACCCGGCAGTGTCCGCCTTGATGAATACGACTCCACAGAGCTACGACTCCGTCGGGGGGGCAACCCTAAGCTGGCCCGTGTCACACACGAGCCTATCGAAGATTCAAACGAGATAACCTCAACTACTACAATTTTATACTTCATGAACGATACAGGTGCCCTCCTGTATTCTGCAAAAGCTTACTCATTTTCTCAAGTTCAACTTCCTATATCAGAGGTAGGGTTGAGGTTCATAACTATTGAGTTTTTCTGCCAACTATTAGAACTCAATACAGGAGAGTACCGGAAATGGTCTCTAGCGGACTGTCATGCCGTATGAGGTGGAAGAAAAAGCTCGCTGAGGCCCCGCCGCTGGTAGAAGGATCGACGACTGTGATACCGACTCTAACAACAGACGAGTTGACCAGATGTGGCTCCAGTCAAAGTACCCCGAATAGGTGGGAATACATTCCAAAAGCGTAACGTCTCGTCCCCAGCTCCAGTGACGACGGTTTGCCCATCTGGCGATACCGACAGGTACAAAACTCGATATGTATGTCCTGTGAGGGTGACGACCTACGGAATAACAGTTGAATTGACAGATACTGCGTGGATCCAATCCAGGCTAGAGTAGAGCACAACATGTATGCAGGGAGCTTACTTTCCGCATGCTGGGATACTTCCATACAACGACCTGATTTAGGGAGTAACCGTGTGTTGACACCACCTCATTCACACTCTTAGCCCAGCTCAAGTTGCACACTTGCGAGCCTGATCATACGAGGAGGAGCAACACAGAAGTATATGAGCACAATGGAACCTGTGTCGACACAATTGAGGCAAGTGCCGGTATGAGTATCCCAGAAACGAATGCATCGGTCTGCGGTCCCACCCACCAGTAGCCAAACGTGTGATGCTGGTGTGGCGACCAAGCTAGAGCCTATAAGACGGTCACCGTCGCATAACAGCCACGTCCATATTCCAACTTCAGAGGGCCGAGCTCACACGAGAGGAGACCGGGCGGGTGTTGGACGGGGGAGTCCAAAGGAGCGCACAAGAAAAGTCCAAAAAGTTGTCGACACACCTTCACGGCTGCTTGATGATCGGCCAGTCTGAGTACTGGGGATATACGGCTAGTAACCTCCTAAAGCAATGAAGGCTATACTCTACATACGGTGGCAAGCTGCATCAACTACTCAGACGGATTACGGCAACCTACATCCATGGCACTCCCTGATGGCATCATAGAGGCACTCCAGGTAAGAACCTTGTTATCATTTCCACCACTAGCAAGCATAGTTCCATTATATGACCAACTCAAGCCGCAAACCTGGCACGCTGATCGTCGCACGAAAGCGCAGACGTAACTTACCTCCTGGCGATGCCCGATTAGCTTGCCCACATTACGTTGGGGACTACGGATATCCCTCAGTAGAATGGAGTGATCACGGCCACCAGTGGCGAGGCGAGACCCACTCCATGCAAGGGCACCGACTCTTCCACTATGCCCTAGGAGGTCACTAGTTTTCTCACACTGAAGAGCAGCGCTGTAGCGGAGTCACGAGTCGGTTAGAAACTGCAGATGCTCCCAGCCTCACCCGAACAGGATCCCACATCTGCACTTGACCTTTTCCAGTCCCAATTGCCACACTGGATCCCTAAAAAGCTCACCAAGTTAGCGTAGTAAGGTGCTACATTGAAGGTATTCAAATGGCGACCGAATCTTCTGTGATCAGTGGGTGGATAGTACTTAAGAGTATCAGTGATGAATGAACAACAGAAAATTCGAGTTCAGGATCTCAGCACTATAAGCAAGCAAACACCACCAAGATCCAATCCACGATCACAGGGTTGAGGGAGTTACGCTCTAAGAGAGCTAAGTTCAGGGCTGATGATATGGGACAGCAAGGGGAGAAACGGGAATCAAGAAAATAGGAAGGAATAAGGAAAAACAACCTCGACTGGTCCCTCGTTAAGCCTTCCGTCAGGAATGTCAGAGCTAACCTCTTCGCCTAGCTCTGCTGATGCGAACAGACAAATGATCGAGAGCATCATTCAAGGCAGTGAACTGGCCGACTACGGCGCCATTGAAGGTCGATACATCAACCGGCTGTGGCGTTTGACCCAGAAGTCGGTAAGGAACATCAAGCATGATCGGCAATAACTCTATTATAGATAGTAATTGCATATATGAGTCCGAACAGTGTACAAAGGAGCAGAAGCCATTACATCTTGGCTCCAAGCGACGCTTGCTACTAAGTCGTCTTCTGGAACCTCACACAACTGATTCACTGCGCCCGTCACAGGACACCACAGGAAAACCGTCCTCGCTAGTCCAACGGCGAGTAAGTTGCAGCTCCTGAGAAGACATCCCAAGTACCACAGGCCCTCAGCACAGTGGCCCACCCCCAATCCACTAGATTAAGGTAGAAATCGTCTTGGAGATTGGGAGCATCCAATACCTTGGCCGGGGCCTATAACACATACGTTGGACTGGAGACTCCTGCTACACACAGTCTACGCGAGAGATCTTCCGGAGGGGCTCGGCGTAACTGAGCCTTTTCCTGTTATTTCGTGGTACTGGATGAAGTTCCTTGGCCGCATTTAGGTACTCAGCGTCGCTCTGAGACGGAAGCATCTATATGTTAGCATAATACACTACAAGTCCCCAGAGCCGCACGCCTGGTTCCCACCGGACTCACCGAAACCTTCGAGTCGCCTCCACCTAGAGTCCCAAACAGACACGGCTTCCCGATGGACATGCCATGGCTCTGTGACGACGACCCGTCTTGACTAAAATTCCAAGGAGTTGCTCAGATATCCAATTCTTGTGTCGAGTACTTGTAGACTATACTCCGGGCTGTTGGTGTCAAAGATGATGCATCCTCAGAGTTCCCTGGCATGTCCGGTGACAGATCGAAATCCAACAGCTCCGAGCAGAGTGCTTGCATGTAGGATTCTCGAGACGCTTCTGAAACGAAACAAACATCATCCCATTCCATGGGGTAGAGTCGAGAGAGCAACCACCATCAGACCGGCGGCCATCGATGCTTACCGGCTCTCATATTCTGAGCATCTGCGGCGGAGTGTCCAGCAGACTGAAAGAGGCCAAGGACCATGAGAGCCCAGGGTAGGGCTTCAGCGTCACCTGTCTTGCTGCTGCTGCATCACTCCTCCAGAATGCGCCATTGCGATGAAGCTCCCCAAGAATAGCGAATGTCGACTGAAAAAGATGCATCTATGCGGCACAGCAATCAAGAAAGCGCTTCCAAACGCCGACCTGGAAATCTCGTGTGTTCCCAGCGACCGGAGGGATCTCATGCGAGAACATCGACTGCCGAGTACGACCGGATGGGGCCATAGGAGGGAGTCGATAACAGGTTCGCTGAGGTGGGATGAGGGTCGAGGTATGCGGCTTTCCGAGCACCCATATGATCCACGATTCCTCGTCGTAAATCGCTCTCGAGTGAACTCTTATAAAAGTCAAAGACTTGTATAGGAATTGCATGCCTTGACCTCCTAAGGAAAATGATCACTGTCAGGAGAGAATACTACTCACGGAAAACACTATGTAGAGACAACTTGTCTCCGTATACTGCCTTGTCTGAGACAAGGCGGTATACGGAGAGAGCGACTACTGCAGCATCGAGGAACGATAATGCAACATTCGCTGTTCTAGAGAAATCTATGAATCGATGGTCTAATACATAGATCACGGAGATCTGTATAGGGCACGACCAAGGCCCTTTCGGAGGGATTCGGGAGATTTGCAGAAGTCCGAGTGGGATAACCGCCTAAGGCGAGGCTTGTGTAAAACGCACTACATATGATGGATGAGGGAGGCGCAAGCAGGCGTGAATGGATAGACCAGAGTTAAACATACTGTGATGCTTCAAAGGATGGTGACTGCTGGTAGGTATCACCAAAGGGTGATGATCGGGTGTATGCAGACTCATGAGCGCCTTCATGTCAATCGAACCCGACTCGGGATTCAGTACCATGTACCTACGCTGGTCACAGTCACTGAGCAGCGGCAAGACTTGGGGTCATCCGAATACACGCTTTCCCGAGGACGTGCGTATTAGACACTAGACATACCCGTCTTCATAGGAGTGCCGACCTGGTACATCCGACCAAGGCAATCTAAGCATATCCTCAGGAGATTGAGTCCAGTGATGATCGTGCAAGTATCTACAAACTGCTGCTTCTGGAATGTTAGTGAGGGAGTTTCACCTCGTCCTCGCAGCATCGAACTGAATAGGAGCAGCTTGACTCAATTGATTGAGCATATGCAATGCACGTTGAGCTGACTTCACCGCGGTCTCAGCCTCCAACTACAGTCGTCGTCGTAGTTAGAAGATACTGGAAAAGGATGCTGACCTGACTCTTGAATGCCGCATTGTTCGCAGCGTATGCAGCGATTTTGGCCAGACCAGGTCCCTGTAGGCCGTACTTAGCATCATCATAGAGGATTGTCTTCGTCATGAGTGAATGACCGTCGAAAACATCCATTCTGATTGACAACAAGAGCAGCACTTTAGCTAGGAAATTGGTGGATGACACGCCACACTGATTGAGTGCTTATATCGTATAGCTATGTTTGTGTTCGAAGGATCATCGTGGCTCATGTCACGGCACGCTGTACCTGAGTCGAAAGATGAAGATCATCCTCAAACTGCCAATACCGAGATGACTATGCTATCGCAATTAGACCCAACATGAGTTGCAGCAGCAACGGTTGGACGGACTTATACGATGATCCTCATCAACGTTGCCTGCAGAGCGGAGATGAGCACATAGCTGAGGCTGCAGCTGCCGTACTACTCCCGAGAACTCGGGCGAGGAGTCTTGTGACCAATACTCCAACGGCTCGATAACAGATTCGGGGAGCTCCAGAGGCGTACTGGTACGTTGTTGCTTGTCCAGAAACTCTGGGAAATTATCCTCGAGTGGGAGCGTGTGCTCGCACTGTTTGATGATGACACTACGCCATCCCGACATCACTAACTTGCGATGCGTATAGGTTTGTGCACTTTCCTCACTGCCCACCGAACTAGATCGTATGACATTATCTATCTTCTACAGCCAGTGAGCTGGCGGGCTCCAAGAACGAGAATGGAGCTCCGTGGGCTCGATTGGTATCATCCATGGCGAATGCCTCACGGAGGAGCTCGTCATACTGTCTTGGTCTAACTACAGCAGACAACCTGTTCTAGAGTGTCCAAAGTCGGACACTCAAAGAGTACAGTGGAAATTATCAATGTTACTGTACAGTACTACAATGTATCAAATAACAGCTATCGGATGCTACGACTGGCCGATTGCTCAGGATACCTCCCGCAAACTGGCCCCTCCCATAGCCTCGTGATATCTACGGTAGTGCTAGCTCATCTCTCATCAAAGTATTGATGCCCAAGGTACGGGGATAAAGCCCGAGGCATCGTATCCTGCCCACCCTCTAGGGTGGGCACCTACGCCCTAGCGAGATGCAGCGGCACCTACGTCCTATACCCTAGCGTAGTATCATGCGAATGGCCGAGCTACCAGCTCCCGAGCCGATAGAAGCAATGACTGAAGTTTCCATTGAACCATCAATCTGATGAAAGAAACAATAGGAACTACCCCTCCACTTCTATTTGTAAAGCAAAACGATTTCACATCCGGCGCTGTCGGATCTCGCTTCGCCATCGTAATCGACTCATGCGCATTTCACGATGGCCACCTAACGTCGGAGAAGGGAACTATGATGCTGAAAAGCAAGAAGTGCCGGTGCGGTTGTAGTTAGCATATTTCTCTCCTTTCCCGAGTTCGTCGTCTACTATACATGATGTTCGGCTTGTTGTCTCGTCGTGCCTTGGGCCCAGCACTCCTCCGTCCGCTGTATCAGCGTGGCGTTATGGCTGCTTCTGGCAATACACTCAGGACTGCTATTCCCACTGGGTACATACCGTTGACTCATCGGCGATTCGCTGAGTTCTATCCGTTTGATCTCCAGTGATTTCATGCATCTCGAACTTCATTTGTTGGTGAGAATTTTGAGAAGTTCTCATTGGCTTCTGTATACCTTTATCCGACTTTGTATGTAAGCTCCTATAACACGTGAGGAAGCTCATGCACCCAGTTGAGGAAAGCGAGCATGAATTCCAATACTAGTCCGGTCAGCATCCTATTACAAAGGGTCGGCCCGATAGTCGTTATCAGGTGGTCCAACAATGGTTTTCGAGGCTTTGCCAGCATACCGCCAACTAAGCCGATAAGCTCTCTAACACCGGTGAATAACAACTCGATTGATACGGTCACGCAGAAGGTACTTCGTATGGAGTATCATTCTGATAGGAATATTCCCACTGGGTTGCAGGTTTCGGCCACCGGACTGCTCCCCGCATTTAAGTCCAAAATAGCCGAAGTTACTAACAAAAGTGCTATCTTTGAGGTAAGGGTCCTGTGATTCATTTTAACATCATTACTGTTGGGCCGAAGAGTCCAGGGACTACCTCGGACATTGATATTCGATGGCCGATAATCGTCTTATCAGATTTCTGTTGGAGTGGTTTTGGCTCAGTACAAGCAGATCTTCCTAAGCCTCATGCGGAACATCTTCCAATCCTTCAGACCGCTGCTGATCACCGTTATTATGGGTAGTATAAAATATTTAGCTCACCCCTATCCACTGACGCACTTGAGTCGTATGCCTACTGTGCCTCCGTTAGCTCTATTGAAGCGTACTATGTAGGATAGAATAGTCCCACCACTCCGCTTCTGCCACTGGTTGGCGCCAGTGTTGGCCCTCACATGTCCACCCTTGAGGGTTGCTGGTAGCCTTGGTGGTGGTTGTCTCTGTGGTGGTTAGGTAACATGCTCAAGATGGCTGCATTCTTGATGCAATTCCCCGTATCGTTCTACTCAATCTTCTTTTTCGAAGTATTCTATGGGATGGCACAGTTGGCGATCAGCTTCGTCTTCGTGTGTTTCTTCCACAACGGCATGAGCCTCCAGACGCGAGTAAGGTCCGTATCGTTTTGGGTGTATGTTAGGTAACGTTCTTAAGATGGCTGCATTTCTGCTCCAAATACCCATCGGCTTTTACTCCATCTTCATGTTCGAATGCTTTTATGGCATTTTCCAGCTAGGATTAAGTTTCGTCTTTGTGTGCTTCTTCCATAACGATATGAGTATGCAGTCGAGGGTAATAGGATAGAGGGTAGAGCTTTCGTTAGAATAAAGAGTAGAAACAGCAGGGCTGTGAGTCTTATTCGTAGTTGGTTCACCCGGGAAGGATGATAGTGGGATCTCGAAAAAGGGTCCAATACACCGCGCCATCTCTGTGCTCTTCCTTTTATCAGGCTCGACAACAACTGCTTAGAACGATGAGCCGTAACTTGAGACGGTTCAAGCATATGATGTAGGAGCTGCGTTTGCTGGAGGAAGCGTTTTTCAAAGGCAGAATATCATTGATGGCGATCCAGTTTCGTGTGGGAGATCAACAGGGCTTTGTGTTGGTGTCTACAGTGTGGCAAGTTTCAAGGGGACTGTCAGAATCATATAGAAGCGTCCATTCGGAAAGAGCGGCTTCTGAGAAGAAGATGTATTGTATTGAATGCAGCTATTAACGGTGCACTCAAAACTCGAGTAGGGTTTATGACCTAACGAAAGGTTGTCGCCAGTGAACGCTCTGATGAAATCAGGGAGGCTCGAGGCAGGCACTTGATTGAACAGAACGAGTGATATTAGTTTCTATGCGCTGAGCCTCAACAACTAAGAATCGGCACGTGGAACGAATTGTCAGGAAGTTTGTATTCTATTTTCTCGTACTAGCTACTTTCCATTAGTGAGCTCTGTGGTTTTCATGCCTTCATTCTCATTGGAACGGCGACTGAAGGGGCACACACAGGTCGTCACCAGCGTGCGGTATAATCACAATGGGAGGTGAGTATAACGATGCAAGGTGTTCACCTACAACCAGATGAGGAATCCTGAGACCTTCTAGGTACTGCATGAGCACTTCACAGGATCGCTCTATACGTCTATGGAACCCGTCTAGCACCGCATGCGAGCCCATTAAAACGTACACTGGCCCACACAATCGTGATGTTAATGACTGTTGTAAGTAGGGGGGTACTGAAGACGGGCCATGGCTCACACGGAATTAATCAACGTGGCTGTCCCAAGAAATACTCCTTCACTGATCGCTAGTATGTCAAGGTCTCCCGTGATTGGTGTCTTGGGGATCTGGAGGAATTGTGATGGAACGTTGACATACGTATAGAGTTTCTTAAGAACGTAGTAGTCACGTAGTATGAAGCAATACGCATGCATACGGCTGCATAGTCATCCTGGGGCACATCAGCTGAACTAGCCATACATTATCTCGCTCAGGTATGACGGACGACAATGCTAAGTTTGTCTCTGCTGGGGCCGACAAATATGTGTTCCTATGGGATGTGGCGACAGCAAAGATTATTCGAAGATTTGCGCGACACCGTGGGCCGGTGAGTCTGAGATGTTTCGCTCTTTATCCCTTTCTCGCCATCATTACTTGTCTACGACTGTGCTGTTGTACTCGTGTGGCATTAGCTTTATTGTAAGCATGTATTTCCTTATGAACCTTTGGCAGGTGAACTGTTGTGATTTCGCGGGCCAAGAGCAGAACATACTCTTGACAGGGAGCAATGATAAAACTGTAATAATTGTTTCTGCTCGGTCTCGATCATACAGTTAGTCTCCTTCCGCTGATCACACTGCTATCCTGCTTCCAACGTGGAGCACCTTTCGCTTGTTTATCTCCCGCGAGCTCTTCCTCACGATGAGTATATGGTTTTCGGTGTAGGTAATGTTGTGGGACTGGCGAGCATTCACCAACAACAAGCCGCTACAGACATTAACAGAAGCGTATGATTCTGTGCAGGCCATCAAGGTCATCAACGAGTATGTGTCTTATGTGCTCTCGTCCTTGTTCGATACTTTCCTTATAGCATCTGTTAGCACCCCTGGGTCGAATCATATCATGTATCGACTCTCTCCTCAAGGTACGAGGTACTCACTGGAAGTCTGGACGGCTGCCTTCGACGTTATGACGTTCGCTATGGTCGGCTCACGGTTGACGAATTCGATGGGCAGTCGATCAGTTGTATATCAGCAAGTGATATTATTCATCTCTCCGAGATTCACGTCACATTAGAGGTTCTCAGGCTCTGATGCACGATATCTTCTACTCGGTATGCTCGATAGTGGCATACGACTAGTGGAGACACAGAGTGGTCGGGTCGTTAAGAACTACAAGGGCAAGCATGTCAATCGAAGCTACAAAATCTATTGTAAGCCTTTGTAAGCGATACTTGTGGGAATCATCATGGCAACCCTTATGGCACAGAGAGAGCCGTTCTGCTGCGCCTTTACTCTCGATACGAACGCCACTTTAAGCCTGCATCTCCATAACTCGCAGGTACGTTTGACGGTTCCGAGAACCTTGTCCTCACTGGTTCGGAGGCAGGGAGTTTGGCGTGGTACGATGTAGCCGACGACGATTCAACTGGTGAGTGAAAGCGTTGTCGGGGCTTGGTACCAAGCTCGAGCATATAGGTCCTCCCGCTGTTGACTTTATCGTCGTAGGTTTTGTTACAGCACCAGCTAACAGCGGCGCAGTCCTATGCGTACGGTCTTTCGAGTCGCAAGTGCTGGCCACCACACAATCGGGTGAAATACTGGTCTACCATTCTGATCCTCAACAGTCCACTGAGCTGGGCCCGGCGCAGGCAAACGTTTCTAAGTGACACGCACACAGTATGCTTGAGTTGTCATTGTCTTGCTATAATATGGGCAATCCTCGTCGTATCCTGTAGGGAAGAAGAACGCATTTGTTCCTTGAAACGCCTCACCACATGCATGGATGGGTTCACGCTGACTACTTGGCTGTCGAGATTCACTTACACTCCAAAGCATAGTGATCTTGGTCATCTCAGCTTAACAAGATTGTCTCCCATCGATCGAGTTATTGATGCAAGGCTGACTATCTTGATGCTATTCAGAGTGATTATGTTCGCCGGGCAGCAGTAGGAGCCGTTGCCACACATGTGGTGAGAGGACTGCACATGGAAGAGAACATATCTTGTGCGGATTATATTATAGGCTGAGTGAATCAGAGATTTTTCCATGAAGTCATGAATCTCACTCGGCTTTATTTCCCGAAAGCTAGGGCATCACTTAACACGAGCTTTCACATGCTATACTACTTGAAACGTTCCGCATCGATCCGCATGCCATGCTATCCATGTTATCCTCTCGAGCGTGTGATACTCTATTTCGCTATATTGACGTCGGTTGAGCAAATGAGGCGGTGTACTGACATGTCCTGCTGCCGATGGAAAGGGTCTTTGAGGATCCTGATAATGTTTTACGGACTCGTATAGGCATAAACAATTGTATATCTGAGTACCATTGCTGATATAGTAATCAGCTCTATGTCGACTAATCCAGGCTCGAAGAGCCTTGCGCTAATGAAGGGATGCATCTGTTACTCCGAACCGTTACCACTAGCTTCTACTAGTCCGATAGGGCGACGACTTGTCACTCACAAGCTCGGCCCGGGCTAGACGAGACGTTTCTAAATATGTAGGGTGTAATACGATCGGATTGTCATACGCGTAGATAGTACTTGTGCCACATCCACGCAATGCTAGCGTCGTGGAAGCTGTGACTATCGCTTCCAGAAGGAGGATACTGATTTGCTGTATAGTTTTGAATACTCTATGTCCCCCTCCACCTATCTTGATGTCGACCCTAAGCTGGTTGACGTACTGAAGTTCGAAGGGATCAACTTCATTTTCACCTGGATCGGAGCTCTCGTTAGACTGGTACATGGACTAATGTTGCCAAATGACCCAGTCGTTATCTTCTAGATTCTAGATGCAATCATGCTCGGTCTCCTCCCACTAGGATACACCATCTCCCGTGTATGGGCACGTATGCGACAACAAGCAGAGCCGCCTAAGGTTGTCTTGATAACAGGAGCGGGTGGTGAAGGTCTCGGAGCTATGCTCGCTTTACAGTAGCCCTAGTAGGCTAGGAAGGGCCCTACACCCCTGAGTCAGATACGCTGGACCATCTACTCGTAAGATCATCCTAACTGATGTCCATAGAGAGTCGCTTGAGGCTGTGGCGGAGGCTTGCCGCGCCAAAGGTGAGAACCTATTACTTCTCACAACTCCTCCAGTCCCACGGGACAAGGCTCTTTCGATTCTTCTTCTACTGCTACTACCATTCTAAGCAGGCTGAGATCATTTGGATAGGTCGCAATGCAGGTACATCAGAAGTCGTGTTGGTCGAGGCAGATGTTTGTGATGAATCTGCCATGAGAGAACTGGCACGTGCTCATTCTGATGTCGATCTGGTTATCGCTAATGCTGGTGAGCTCACGATAATAACTGTATGATATTTAATCGTTCAGGAGTGTCTGCCCATACAGTTCCAGGAGTTAGTGCTGAGAGACCAACACTGTCCGTGACTGAATCATCGTCGAAGGTTTTAAGCATCAATGTGTTAGGTGTTATGAATACGGTAAGTATTTGCAAATGATGGTTTTTGATTGGACACTAGGGGAATGATCGTCTAATCTAAAACCATCCCGGTAGTTTTCCCATAATTTTCGTACGGATTTGCCGGCCGTGTAGAGAAATGATCGTCTTGTTTTCTGAACGGTTCTCACAGATACTTCCCTTCGTCGATCCGATGTGCAAACGTCGTAGCGGGCATCTAGTTATAATATCGTCCATGGGTAATGATGCCTCTTGCTGGAGGTTGGCAGGAGAACATTCGGCATCGTCTACCAGGTTCGTATCTACCAACTGCTGCATCACCAGAATACCACGCTAGCAAGGCTTGTGTCCGAGTTTATGGGGAGTCTCTGAGGGTCCTCCTCCGAGGTACCGGAGTCGATGTCACTGTTGTCTGTCCTGGATTCGTGAGTTCCGGCCGTGGGTTCGGAGGACAGCTTCTTGATCCACTCTAATGCAGGTGAAGACCCCAATGACCGATATCGCTGCAATGCGGCATGTCCATCCCCTCCCATTGATGGTGTCGGGCGAGGACGCAGCCCTCAAGTGTAAGCAAGGAATCGATGCTAACATGGCCGTCGTCAACTTTCCGGCCCCTGTAAGTTCCCTGATGGGCATTTCTTCAGCGTTTTTGATGTTGTTTTACGTGCAGCTACTGTGGATCACCGAGGCGGCAATGAGCTGGCCTTCTACCATTCGAGAACTGATAATCCCGTGTCCTCCTGGAACTCAACTCTCCAGACTGGCCAGACTTGAGGCGTAGGCATGGCTCCAGAGGTTGCCGGTTTTTAACAGTGTTACGTCTCAACTAATCCCCACCTTTCTAAGATGTTTGCAATGTTCGGGTTAGTTCTTCGTAAATTGGATCCTAAGGGGAGTCATTCTTTGCGCAGGGGAGGAGAATCACCTCGAGAGACAGACTATACTCACAAATCTGTGACGGGATCATCGGAAGACACAGCCGTAGTATGCGCGCCACAAGCAGTATTACTATAGTACACTATACCATCTACCATTCACAGTACGGAGGTGTTACAAAAGGCATAGTATAAGGTGTATATACTCGTTGTCCTGTACGCGTCTGTGACCACAGTCTCTTGGACAAGTGGCGTTTTCTTTCGAACTTGCGTATATCCAGGTTATTGTTGCCTGTTCACTCGTCTATCAGTTGCGTGGGGAAGGGGTAACCATCAGCGACGGTAAACTGTGATCTTGGCTAACCACCAAGACTCGGTAGTCATGTCTGATCTCGTCCCGTAGTGGGTCGTGCGGTCCAGAGGACGTCGAGGCAGCGTGATATAGTGCAAACAATTGATACAATTGATAGTGCGCTGCCAGTTTCGAAGAATCATTCACGATGCGTGGGATAACCTTCTCGCTCGCCTAGTAAGATACCATCGGGGGGTATTGGTTAGGGACTACTCAGAGAAGACCGATGTCAATGTGAAGTGCCGGGGTAGAATCCTACGTTCGGTAGTGTTCGGTGACTAACATGCCTACACCGTCGAGAGATCGGTCTAAGAATCAGCAGCTGAGATCTTCTTCAACATCACGCTTACCTCCGATAGAAGGAGCAAAGGAGTCTGGGGAGAAGAAAGTGGGAGCGAGACCAGCTATGCACATCTCAGATGCCGACCGATTGTACAGGTCTCTTTCGGTCTCCCAGAGGGCTTCAAGTCCAGGGGGATTGGACTTAACCTCGCAAGTCCACTCGTATCATCGAATGCCTTCCGTCATCTCGGCAGTGGTGATATGTGGAAGGTCCTTCCTCAACCTGCTGTGTCCTCGTGGAGGTCGTATTCATGTTAGGCGCCAGTCTCCAGACCAAAGAGTTTCTCGGCCTCCCACTCCCGCTCGCACTCCCTGGGCATTCATCATTCAGCTAGTTCGAACCGTCTGGGCAGGTCTAGTCGATCATCTGGTCCATTCTCGAGGAGCAAGTCTTCTGGCAGCACTGACGGGCTCGGTAGGATTCAAGTCTCTACAACCCCTATGGCTGATTATAGATACCGAGCCCGTGAAGCGTCAACGCATACCGAAGCACATGAGATACATCAAACATCTCTACCTGGGCCCATTGTACTCCAAGAGTAGCGAAGACAGCAAGCGGAGATCTATCGATATCGACGCAATCTCTCTTCCGCTCACAAGTGTCCTGGTAAGATGCGCTCCGTATTGATGTTCCTCATGAACTTGCCTAGCGCCGCCACGATGACGATCTTGGCGAGGATGAGAAAGCTTATCGTGAGGCCGAGATGTTGAGAACAGGTCGCAGTCTCCTGATGTTGCAGCTAGTGAGTATCAGTCTTAGGTGATGATGCTATTGCTTTCTTCGCCAAGTATGGTGACAATGTACCCGTCAAGTTCATCTACTGCGCTAGAGCATCTAACATGATCAGCTTCCAGCCTTATGCAATCGAGGTGCTTTCACTCATGTTCGCTCATCAAGGGATTCACTGCTTGTCGCACTTCAGTGTGTATCGAAACAGTTTTCTCGAGCAACAGGAGCCGGAGATTCCCTGAGTGTGGTGCTCTCAAAACTCGCCGAGTAATTCGAGACATAGTGAAGCGTTACGGATTGTTTTGGGTGTTGAAGATATTTCATCGTCACCCCGCCTGGCATCCTCCATGTGGTTAATTGCCGCGATGACCCTACTGAGTTTACGTCGAACTCTCAGTGGATGCACGAGAGTCGCACGTGAGAATTGAACCTTACCGGTCCACGGCTTGCCATGAGTTATGACTCATCATCAGGTTCAGCATTGTCTCCAAGCTGAGGTTTTTCCGTCACTACGTGAAGAACAAGTCCATCAGGGCCTGGCGTCAAAATGCTAATTATCGGCGCTTCAAGTCCCTACGATTCAAGTAGGTCCCTCTAGCTTTTGTCAGACTTCTGCCGCATGAGCGTAGGATTGAGGGATCTCCCTCTAACCGATCTAGACCTCTCACTCTCGGCAGTTTGAGTAGCACTGAGCTTGGTTTAACAATGACGGGCCGTTTTGATACAGCCACATTATTGATGTTCCTCGTGGATTGTTGACGATGTTTAGGCTCTCAAAGAGGCTGGTTTTACTGAGACCTTTACTGGCTCCTTATATTACCATGGTCAACGTCGTCTGTAATGGAGATATACAGCAGGACACGAGACTCTTATATGGACCGCCCAGTCAAGGTATACCTTCGCACACCTCGAGATGGGGCATTCGTGGTTCTCAGGGTCAGGTTACCAGACGTATATGATCCAGGATTTCCTTAAGATGCAAGAGTCACGTAGATATCAGGAAGTCGATGCCGACGTGAAAGCCTTGGAGGCCGCCGTGGACGATATCTCTGATTGGATTGGGGAGTTAGTGAATAAGGTGGAAGCTCAAAATGGCCTCTTGAGCATCGTAGGGCTTGTGCAGGTTGAAGCCTTACAGGAGGACACCAAGGAGGGCGTTATCGACCCATCCCTCCTTGGGAACTCCTGGAACGAACGAAGCGCTAAGTCGTTGGTACGGTTGCACAAGAAGAATATGTTGCTCTCGAGAAGTTGAGTTACTCAGGTACAGCAGAGAAAGTTGAGGGAAATTCTAGCAGCGAGGAAGAAGCTGGCTCGGCAAGAGAAGAAATTGCTATGGTTCGTGATCAGGCTTGTAGAGCAACAACTTAGAAGCGCATTGATAGGCGTTGCTATTGCCTCGGTATCAGTGTTTCAGTCTTCTGGTTACTTGGAGCTCCCATTGTAGGTGCGAGAGTTCTGTTCACTACTCGCCGCGGGAGCTGAGCTGTCTCTCCCTGGCTTCATGTGCATGCTCTCTTCCTATCGTGGCGGCGTTAAGAAGCTACTGCCCCCCGAGAAAGAAATTCAGGTAGCGTCAGCGCACATGGTGACTCTTGCAGTGTTTGGTTGTTTTAGGTACGCCCACTGTTTTCGCTAACCGTGGAGTTCCGCAAGAAAAGTGTGATGGAGAGATCAGGCTTGGACGGCCTCATTTTCCACCCCAGTCGGTCGGACTTCGAGGAGGGAGTGAGGAAGTTTTGGGAAGGAGTGTTGGAGGCATTGAATAGAGTCCCCAATTTAGGCGTGAAAAAGTAAGTAAGTTGACGCTCCTGCCAATGATGATGCACGGTCTGACAGTTCGGACGAGTTGCCCAAACCAGAAGGGCGCCTGAAGCTGTCCCTTATGAGAGGAAGACCAGTGTCTGATGTTGTCAATAGGATACACGAGTTCAAGAGGTATGTGGCTGCGGTCAGCATGACAGCTGAGCTCAGTTCATAAGGTATATCAAGTATATGTCGGGTAAGGTGTTGGGAGATGTGGAGGCCGCAATTGAATATAGCTTGGCTCAGTATGTCCCGGCGAGGATTGTATTTGACTACGGAAACGAGTGGGACGAGGATCAGTGAGTTTACCCTATCGCTAGACTGCTGCTGCTGCTATTGCTTGCATATCGTCAGGTATATTGGGCAAGTTGGGCAAGATTGTGATATGATTATGGAAGATATGAATCTGATGAAGGAGTTCAAGGAGAAAGTGATCCCCAGCGTTAAAGTGTATCACACTGCTGGTGGGCTCAGCCTCTAACAAATCGGTCTCCTATTATGTCGCAGGCGCTATACTCGTCAATGGACAACCGCTGAGGGCTTCTTTGGAGCCTATACCGCTGAGAGCACTTGATGCCATGAAACGTATCTTGAACGACATTGCTAAAGAGAGGAATAAGGAGGTGCCGTATTCCACGGCCGCGACAGTAGGTTCGAACTTGAAGTAATCTTGCATCAGATGGTTGATAAGTTGGAGCAAATTCATCGTACTTTGGATAACAACCCAAGTTCAGCAGATCATGATGGAGACGGTCCGCCGGCCTCACTGCCAGTGTAGCACTCTGGGAGACGGCGCATTCGATGCTGACCTCTCGATACACCGCCTCGTGTGACAGCTAGCTGCTTACCAGTATGTAACTACTTATCATCAGAATCCTCATGGAGTGTAGATACACGGCATACATCAGCGCAGTGCAGCAGATCCGAGATGAGCTCGGTGACCTGCAAGAACGAAATGTTATGGTCACCGGCCTTTACTCGACGCTTGGGAAGTTTGGATCGACGGTAGGACTGAAGGTGCTCGTCGTTCATACTGGTACTTGCCACTGGTAGATTTCTATGGATGAGCGAATGCAGCTCGATCTCATGCAAAACAGGATGGAGGAATTATCTGATAAAAAAGTTGTCGAGGCCAGCGTATGCATTGAAAACATCCGAAAAGATATGACCAAGGACTGCCTCGAGAAGTGCGCTTCACTTGAAGCGGAATTGGTAATAATGTGCCGAGTTGGATCGGGCCAAGCTGTTGCAGGTCCATCTCGAGAGATCTTTGAACAGCGGTGTCTTCTTATCCGCTGACGCTGTAGTGAATCGAACACACGGGGAAGTCTTAGCTGATCTCGAAAGTATACATCAGATGATAGTCAAGAACGAGGAACGTGTCAATGTGCTAATACGAGCATTCAGACATCCTTTGCGATTACCCGTTCGGGGGGTTTCAGGCGCTCCAACGTTCGCTGCAGCTGATGAAAGTGAATCCATATGATTTTAATCAATTGCAGAAGCTCAAGTCTCGTTACGAACAACGGAGAGGAATTTGGGATTCGGTGGCGACTTGGCGCTCACTGACAACTGAGTGGTGAGTGAATTCAAGCTCGTGGGTTTTATGATCGATTTATCCAGGCTGAATGCTCCACTACGAGAAGTAGATGTTGAAGGGTTGAATCGGACTGTCAATACGATGTTCAAGGAAGCATTCAAGCTGAGCAAGCAGCTGGATGGAGATCAGGTTGTGGAGGAAATGAAAGAACTAATCGGTGTGTGGAAGAGCAATCTTCCGGTAGGGCTCAAGTTTCATGCCACTTGACTGTGTATTGTTTGCCCAGGTCATACAGGAGCTTGGTAACCCTGTGATGCAACGGAGGCATTGGGAGAGAGTGTGTCAGGCGGTCGGCCTGGCCCTCACTGGAACTGCCGCGACGCGTGTCACACTAAGTATGGGGATGGCCTGATGAGCATCATTGCACATTCCTTTGTTGTGTAGTGATGCTAGAGAAACAAGACATATACTCCCATCGGGAAGCAGTTGGGGAGATATCGGCCGCAGCCAGCGGGGAACATGCTCTGGAGAAGACTATGGTAAAGGTTGCCGGTTCGTGGGAGGGGTATTAGCAACTTATAAACCGGTGAGTCGGTCCATCTTGGTGATATCAGGTTGCAGCTGCCGGTGATGAACCATCGTAACACCAAGAATTTGTGGATCCTTGGTGACGTATCTGAACTGATAACATTCCTCGAGGACCACGCTGTGACGATACAGACGGCCCTAGGGAGCCGGTGATTTGATATGGATTGCCTATTGTGTGACTAGGCGGCTGTTGATAGATTCGTTGCTGGAGTCAAGAAAACTGTTGAGGAGTGGGCGAAGAAGATCTCGACCGCCTCAGATGTGCTTGATGAATGGTTACAGGTATATGCATCACTACGTTATCTGTCTCGATATTTTGTATCTCAAACTAACTTGGTCTTGGAGGATTGCGTAGCCTCGTTCCTGCTGGATTGATTAGTGATGACCCGGCTGTCGCCGAACTAATCCGTGACATCTTTAGTGACTTTCCCAGCATCCTCCACTGTGTGTAGTTGTATTGGTCATCGCATGCTCCCCTCAGGTCCAGAGGAGCTGGATGTACCTCGAAAACATCTTCTCGGCCGAGGACATCCAGCGGCAACTACCTAATGAAGCCGCCAAGTTCAAGTCTGTTGATAAATTCTGGAACGAGCTCTTCAAAAAGATTCGTCGGTCCTCCCCTGCGGCGATGGATGCATTCCACATTCCTAATTTACTCGTTCAGCTGCAAGAGGTATGTGTACTGCATAGGATATGATCATCTTGGAGAGGTATATTCCACAGGCGAATGAGACCCTAGACCAAGTGCAGAAATCTCTGGAGGACTATCTAGAGACTAAGAGAGCTCTCTTCCCAAGATTCTACTTCCTATCCAATGATGAACTCTTGTCGATCTTGAGCCAGACTAGGAATCCGCATGCAGTTCAGGTAGGCTGCGCGCATCTCGTGAATCAGTTTTCGGGTGCGGCTGTTTTACGGCTTTGAGAAATGCTGTAGCGCTACAACGCCACCAGCTCCATGATCCTATTGAATGATATCGTTGATGCGATGGTGGAATTTCGGTCATCCGTATATGTGTGTGAGATCGACACAATAGCAATGACGAATTCGGAGGCATTCTTTCCTTGTGTAGGAGCATCTGTCGAAATGCTTCGACGCGATGAATCGCGTGGTGTTTGACCCAGAGAAGAGCAGTCCGCCCGAGATAACACATTTCACCGACATTGCGGGAGAGCGAGTACGTGTCTGCTTGTGTTTAGTTTAGGATCCACCCTCTTATAGGTACCTAACTCCACGCCCGTGCGAGCCGAAGGAGCCGTGGAAATCTGGCTGAACTATATCCTCGATCAGATGGTACAGAGTTTGTATGATTTGACCAAGAAGAGTCTGCTGGAGTATCCCGAGGACGGGAGGTAACTCGGGCGGCATCTGTGGACAGCGATCATCTCGCAGGGTTGTGTCACCTTAGGTACAGGCGGGAGTGGTTGTTTGCAGACTATCCAGCGCAGAGTGTCCTGCTGGTGGATATGATTAGCTGGACATCAAACTGTGAGAAGGTAGATTCTACAAGAGTGACTCATTGCAGTGACTGATCGCGAGTTACAGGCGCTTAAACAGGATAGGGAGGAATGGAAAGGGGGCGAGATGCACCCTCTGTCGGAGTGCATCAAGTATCACCAAGAGCAGCTGCAGGAATCCGTAATGTGAACACCAGTGCCCGAATCGGGGCGAATGGTCATGCACTAGGTTGCGTATGTCCGACAAGATCTGAACAAGCTGCAGAGGATACTGATGGGCGCTCTCATCGTGCTGGACGTACATAACATCACCGTTATAGAGCAGCTCCTTGCAGCAGGCTGTAGAAGCGTCAATGATTTCGACTGGTCTAAGCAGCTACGATATTATTGGGATACTAAGGTAACCACTCGTGGGCACGAATGATTTTGAGGAAACCGTTCTTCAGGTTGACGACTGCATGTGTCGGCAGACGATATCTTCCTTCAAGTCGGTATATAGAACAGCAGTTTTTGAAGTGATATCATTCAGGTACTCTTATGAGTATCTGGGCAACGGTCCAAGACTGGTCATCACAGCTTTGACTGACAAGTGCTATATGACTTTGACAGGCGCCTTGCATCTCAACTACGGTGGGGCCCCGGCCGGTCCTGCAGGTGAGTTTTTGGCTGCGGCATTTCTCATTGGGAGAGCATAGTTGTCACTGTGTCTTGGAGAGGGGCCATTCCATTCGGTATGGTTATCCGGAGTTATCTATTATAGAGATTCTATATGGAATGCGGCGTCAGAGTTGGTGTTCGGTGGTAGGCACAGGGAAGACGGAGACCACGAAGGACCTCGGCAAGGCTCTGGCTGTTCAGTGTGTTGTCTTCAACTGCAGCGACGGTCTCGATTACAAGATCATGGGAAGGTGTGGTCTCCACTTGGTCGTTGCATTCAGTCTTCTGTCTTGAAAGGTTTTTCTCTGGCCTGGCTCAGGCAGGAGCATGGGCGTGCTTCGATGAGTTCAATCGCATTCAAGTATGTATCCTTCTGGAGTGTTGAGGCATCTTATAGATTTTGTCAGGTTGAGGTCCTCTCCGTCATTGCCCAGCAGATGTTGACCATTACTCAAGCCATTCGATCGAAGGTCTCCATATTCGAGTTCTCCGGACGGGAGATCCCTCTGAACCCACGTTTTGGCGTCTTCATCACCATGAATCCAGGCTATGCAGGTCAGCACCTTTTGCAGATGTGAACTTGTACGAGGCTGCTGTCAAGGTCGAACCGAGCTGCCGGACAATCTGAAGTCCCTATTCCGTCCAGTGGCAATGATGGTTCCCGACTACGCACTAATCGCGGAAATCATCCTCTACTCGGAGGGCTTCGAGGCGGGATCGATGCTCGCTAGGAAAATGGTAGGGGCTTTTGACTCGAAAGCCGCGTTCTTGACGCACTCGAAAGGTTTTGAGTACGTCAAGAACGCGGCGCAGATGACATTGCTCGAATAGCTCTGTGGCGGCTCTTGGGAATAGCGGCATCCTCAGGTTCAACTCTACCGACTGGCCAGCGAACAGCTGTCGAAACAGGATCACTACGATTTTGGTATGAGGGCAGTGAAGTCAGTATTGGTGATGGCGGGCCAACTCAAGCGAAAGTGAGTATTTGCCTCTCGGTCCCGATCGAGAGTAGAACTGGTGACTGTAAGATACCCTGAGCTTAACGAGGACGTAACGCTGATTCGGGCCATGCGGGACTCCAATGTACCGAAGTTTGTGAGTGCTGATCTGCCGCTCTTCATGGGCATTATCAGCGATCTCTTCCCTGGGATACAGGTAGCATTTAGATTTGCATGCTAGACCGAAACGGACTTTGCTGTTCATAGGTTCCTTACGTGGATTACGGGGCTTTGCAGAAAGAAATAGAGGCGCAGCTTCGAAAGGAACACCTGCAGGTGGTCGAGGGTTTTGTAGGGAAAATAATTCAGCTTCTGGAAACGCAGTTGGTTCGCCATGGTAAAGAGCTCAAGAGCGCAAGTCTCGTGTGGTAGCGTTATGGTGCAGGAGTGATGGTAGTCGGAGTTACAGCGACGGGCAAGTCGACGTGCTCTACGATCCTCTCCAGAGCGTTGTCACAGCTTTGTCTGGATGGTTCGACGGACCCCGCTCACCAAGTGACCAAGGTTATGGCCTTGAACCCGAAGAGTATATCTATGGAGGAACTGTACGGCAGCTTCAATGAGAACACTGGTCAGTGGTCTCGAGCCATTCATCGCAGTATTGATGTGAGTTTTCAGGGGAATGGTCGGACGGGTTGGTGGCCATTCTGGTGAGGGAGGCCTTGAGTGATACTTCCGATAACAAAAAGTGGGTGCAGTTTGACGGACCTGTGGATGCTATTTGGATTGAAAATATGAACACTGTGGGATGAACGACCTCAGTTCAGTACTCGAGGCAGAGTCCGTTGATCAGGTGCTGGATGACAACAAGATGCTTTGCCTGAATAATGGGGAGAGGATAAAACTCGCCCCGACCATGACGATGATGTTCGAGGTACGT